GTGTGGAATTCGGTGGGGGGTGCGGGAGCAAGGGTCCCTGTGCCGGCGGGGGCTGAGCACACTGGGCAGCAGCCAAGGCCAGAGCCGATTGATGCACCTCGGACCGGCCGTTACACATTAACTCCCTTGTTTGTCCCACATTCCCCGGCAGGAACCTCCAGCCAACACCCCGGGTCCAAGAGCACGGCCGGTGCCAGGCTCTGCCCCACCGCCCTTGGACCCCAGGAGCACCCCAGAGCCGAGCCAGGACCCCCCCGTTACAGACACCAGTGCCCGCAGCAGCGCTGGGCTCTGGCCTCCAGCCACAGAAGCGGCAGCAGCACCCATGAGCTCCACATTGGTTTGGTCAGAAAAGCACCCGCATGCCTGTTTATTGGGGAAGGGTGGACACGGGGCAGCACCCGTCCCATGCTCCTTGTCCTGCAGGCTCTCAGCGCGCTGTCCTTGTCCCCAGAGCTTGGCACCGCCGCAGCAGCAGCAGCAGCTCAGCATCAGCCCCGGAGCTGCACATCCAGGGGGCCGGGGTGGATGTTTTGGGCATCCCGGAGCTGCTGGCTCCAGTGTGGCTGGGCACACGTGGACCACGGCTCCAAGGGGAGCTGCAAGCTCGTGCAGTGCCCAGCCCTGGCCAGCACCGTCCCCCTGTGTGCAATGACCTACCTTGGGGAGCAGCAGGAGCCCCGGTCGTGGAAGAGCAAAGCAGCTGTGGGCAGCCCACAGCATTTTGGGTGGCATCCTGGATGCGGTCTATGAGAGGTCACTCCTTGGGGCTGTCCTTTAGAGGCTGTGAGCCCACGTTTGGCGGTGCTGTGGGGCTGAAACAAGAACTGAGCTCACCCTGAGCATGCAGCATCCCAGGCATGGGGAGGGCAGTCCTGGCATGGCACCGGCACCCCTCCAAGAACCCCACACCGCAAGGGGCTGGGCAGCAGCAGCCCCTTCCCCATCAGAGTGCGCCAGGCAGTGGGGCCAGGCTGAGGTTGAGGAACCCCCCGTAACGGAAGGGGGGCAGATGGGGGGCACAGGCTGGGGGCGGGCAGGCCAGCGGGTTGGCTCCACACATCCCGGGGTCCTGCTCGCTGCTGAAGTAGACGCTGTCGGGTGAGTCCACCGAGGGGTCCTCATCGAAGTAGTTGTAGGGCCTCAGGAAAAAGCCAACGCCGTTCCCCACGGTCACCGTGTTGGGGATGTCTTCAGCATGGGGGACGTGCAGGAACCCCACCGAGATCCAGGCCACCAGGTCCTGCGTAGGAGGGGAGCCGGGCACCCCGTCAGCCCCACGGAGTCCCTTTCAGCCCGTCACCCACCCAGGCTGGCTGCGGGACACGTGGGGCAGGAGCCGGGGCTGCACCCACAGCATTGGGCTCCACGGGCGCAGGGGTCCCCGGCTCACCTCGTTGGTGATGGTCTCGTTGTTGATGAAGTCAGCGAAGGCAACGGTGGGCGTCCAGGGGTCGTTCTGGTTGTAGATGCTGGTGCTGGCGGGCTCCTCCTCCTTCCGACGGGTGACGGCCAACTGGTACCTGCACAGGGAGCAGAGGGGCTCATCCGTGCGATGCCGGGCACCACCGCCTGGGGATGCTGAGCGCATCCCTGGTGCGTGCCGGGGCACCAGCTCCGGCCTGCATCAGGGAGGGAAAAGGAGGGGCTGGCGCATGTGATTGCTCTAAATTAATCTTATCTAGGGTCAGATTCGTGCCTGTGAACTGCTGCAAACAGATGGCATTGAGCAGCTTTTCCAGGGATTCTCAGAGCCAAAAACTGCACGTTTGGTGTTTACCCCGTCCCTGCAGCCCGGCACGGGTCGGGAGCAGTGGGACCCGGTGTCCAGCCCTGGACCTACCTGCCCCAGCTGATGGCTCTCTCCATGGGGCTGCTGGTGGGAAGGTGCTCCCCGGCGAAGCTGGTGATCTGGATCCGGTAGCTGCGCGGATGCCCCCATTTATTGGAATTGGGGCTGGCAAAGGAGACGTAACGGGGCATGGGGGCATTGAGCGGGAACGCCGCCTCATCCTCCCTCTCCAGCCTTTTCCTGCGGAGGTACAGCCGCTCAATGGTGTTCTGCATGCTCCAGGGATCTTTCAGGAGCTTGTACCCCATGTCCTGGGTGTCCAGGGAGTTCAGCTGCCCTGTGAAACAGCAGGGAAAACCCTCAGGCCCGCAGCCCGCAGTGAACCGCAGCCGCACACAAAGGCACCCAGACCTACCGTCGACATCCAGGTCCACCTTGTAGTGTATGTGGTGGAGGTGCATCGTCCCCAGCGTGTGGGGCCCAACCCTGCTGCCGTAGTCAGTGCCTTGGCCGTGGAGGAAGGAGGTGCTGATGTAGCCGGTGGCGTGCACCCGGACCTCCACGGCCCCGCTGCTGTGGAACATGAAGTCCCAGATGTAGTCGTAGTTGATGAGGGTGGAGATGGTGCGGATGACCAGCGTGGTTTTCCGCAGCCCCCCGTAGTACAAGGAGTGCGAGTCAGAGAAGTGGCGCCGCAGGGGGAGAGCGGCATCGTGCTCAAAAATGCACAGGGAGTTTTGGTTGGTTTTGGGGATATCTGACTCCACCAGGTAGTGCTGGTCCACGTAGGTCGCGGTGTAGGGGCAGTCGAGGCCCCGGACGAGCTCGTAGGCAAACCTGCCGATGCCAAAGCTCCCATCGAGGTAGCGGGTCGACATCCCCCCGGGGCAGTTGGAGCCGTACAGGGCTAAGGCTTCCTGGAGGCTCAGCTCATAGACAATCCTCTCCCCGCGGTACCTGATGTCAAAGAAGCGCGGCCCAGAGCTGGGGCTCATGCCGAAGGTGACGCTCCAGCCCTGGAAGGTGACCCGGTTGTCCACGACGCTGTAGCGGGGACCCTGGGGCTCATAATGCAGCGGACCCGGGGAGCCGGGCTGGTGCCGAGGCCTCATTGAGCCCAGCACCGATTCAGCCCGAGGCTTGTGGATCCTGACAGCCTCCAGTGAGCTGGCCACAAACGCTTCCTCCAGATCCCCCATGCTGGCAAAGTAGTGCCCGTTGTAGAAGACGTGGCGCAGCTGCCAGAGGGAGACGTCGAGAGCCCCATGGTCCACCAGCATCTCCAGCCCCACTGGCAAGAGGTAGTAGCCAGAACCAGGCACGCTATGGAAGAGGACAAACCAGGTCGCCCGGTCGCCGGACTTGAAGCCGCGCGGGGCTGTCGTGAGGGTGGTCAGCTCGGTCCCATCAGACTCACAGCACGCGGCGAGGAAGCGCGGAGCCTTTCGCAGCTCCCTCCGGATGAGGACATTGATGTCCGCGTACTCCTTACCGGTAACGGGTCTGCGGTGGTACGGCACCTTCCCCCCGTACCGGCGCACCGTCACGTCCCGGTGATACAGCGGCGTCGGCAGCGGCCCCACCACGTACTCGGTGACGTTGGGCTCTGCCTGCTCCCCAAAGTACAGCACAGCCAGCGCCTCGCGGGGGGGACGAGCCCCCGCCCCGTCCAGGAACCGCAGCGCCTCTGCCTTGGCCGGCACCTGCAGCTCCACAGAGGCGATGCAGTTGTCGGAGGGCTTTGCCCGCGCGGCGTCCACCAGCCGCAGCCCGAGGTGTCCCCGCAGGTACCGCACCACCTGGGCCAGCTCGGCGGGGGTCAGGTCCGCAAAGACCAGGCTGTGGCCGCCGTCGGGGTCCTCCTGCGCCGGGGGCCGGTGCGGGCAGGCACCGGGGGCCCTGCCCCTGCTCAGCAGCACACAGACCAGCGCCAACACGGTGGCTAAAGCCAGAGCCAGGAGCACGAGCGCGGTTCTCACGTTCATGGCTGCTGAGGCTCAGCGCTCCCGCGGTCTGGCACAGCGAGTTTCCAGCTGCAGAACCTCCCCAGTGACCAGAAGGGGCTGGGTTTGGTGGGGTTTGTGGTTTATCCCCCGTTCGCTCGACAGGGAACGGCCCATTGGGCTGCGCAGGAGGGATGTTCTCAGACGTGCCCAGGAGTTGCTGGGGACCATAAAAGGCAACTTTCCTCTGCTTCCCCCAGTGGGTCATAATGTCAAGCACACTTAATGCTTCTGCCTCTGTTCTCCTCCCCTTGTCCCACTGCAGACCTTGGACAGAACAGAGCCAGCCACTTGGGGGAAATAAATCTATCTCCCTGCACTTCCTTCTCTTAACCCTGCAGACAGAAGCAGCCAGGCCAGCAGTGGGGACCGTGAGGACAATGCTCCTGTGCGCAGAGCAGCACAGAGCACAGCATCACGGCCCCACCGCCACCAGCAGCACCTCCACAGCCTGTGCAGGCGCTGCAGCATCCTGTGGTCCTGCAGCTGGGAAGGAGGGAGAGGACAGCGGCTGGTGTCCCCCAGAGGCACCTCCTGATGCTGGCATAGATAGGGCTGTGAGGAGGGGGATGAGGGCTCCAGAACCCACCCAGCACTCTGGCAAACGGCAGCAGCACGAGCCTTGCACTGGGCTCTCTGTGGTGGCCTCATGAAGTCTGTGTGGCTTGCACAGAGGGACCCATGAGCCCCCTCCCTGCAATGGTCCCCTCTGCACTCCGCAGTGAGAGCTCAGGACCTGCGTCCCAAGAGGGTCCTGGCTCTGTCCCCACCGAGCCCTGAGACTTCCCAGCCCATCCCTGGAGCATCCCATGCCCGGACACCCAGAGCCTGGTCTGTGGGTTAAGGAAACACAGCAGAGACCCCGCAGCATCCCCGCAGCAGACGCTGCTGTGCGTCATAAGAACGAGACACTCAAAGAGAGCACTGGACCAGAACCGTTTTCATTCTCTTAACCTGAGACAGGCACTACACAGCGCTTGCTTCTAGGGCAGAGGAACAGGGTTTTCTCCTCGCTTTCCCTCTGCGACAGACCCCAATTCAGCAAGTTAACAGAGCTCACATGGACCTCCCATGCGGCACCGCGCCGGGAAGATCATGCTTCCCTTTCACAGAGCACTATCTTAAAGCAATGGTAAAAAGTGAAGTCGTTGCACAACTGGCAATTGAGACAACTCCCCCAAAACACTGAGGCAGAGCAGGCAGCCTGGGGCCTCTGCGCCTCCCAGCGCCGTCCTCTGGCATTAAAGCCTGCTTGTGTTTTGGAAGCCATCATAGGTGAAGGGGGGGAAGTTGGGCAAACAAGAGGCGGTTTGGGGCAGGCACGCAACGGGGTTGACTTCACAGGCCGTGAAATCCTGCTCACTGGTGAAGAACACCCCGTCGTGCGAGTATATGGAGGGGTCCAGGTCATAGTAGTTGTAGGGTCTCAGGAGAAAGCCCACCGAGTTCCCTACTGTCACAGTGTTGGGAATATCCTCCGAGTGCGGGATGTGAAGGAAACCAGCGGTTATCCAGGCAACCAGGTCCTAGGCAGGGAAGAGCCACAAGACCATGGTTATTGCAGAACGCTGCAGAGCACCAACCAGAACCTGCCCAGGGGCCATGGAAAGCTCCAGGAGAGCAGGAGGGGACCCAGCCCTGCTGCTCCCACACCGCGAGCTCCCCTCTCCATGGGAAGATCCCCTCCCTTCCCAATGACCTGCCCGCAGCCATGGCCCACCCAGCAGGAAGGGCCCTGCCTGTGCTCTGCAGCCAAGCTCTGGCTCCACAGGGATTTTCCTGATGTTCTGCTGCATTTCTCCATAGGGGAAAAACAAGCTCCTGCTCTGCACGCTGACCTCTGCGCTCTGACCAAAGCACCAGATACCCAGCAAAGGGGATGCTCGAACCCGCTTCCCTCATTGCCCGGAGCTGTTCCTCTTCCAGCTGAGCCCACTGGGGCAGCTCTGGGGCTGGGTGCCACAGCTCCAGCCCCCGGCTCACCTCGTTGGTGATGGTCTCGTTGTTGATGAAGTCAGCGAAGGCAACGGTGGGCGTCCAGGGGTCGTTCTGGTTGTAGATGCTGGTGCTGGTGGGCTCCTCCTCCTTCCGACGGGTGACGGCCAACTGGTACCTGAGGAGAAGACAAGAGATGGGAGCAGTGCTCTGGGACAGGGCAGAGCTAAACCCAACCCCCTGCTCCCATGGAGCAACCCCAGCCCAGGAGAGCGTTTTCCCTGGTCCTCCCCATCAAGGAACACCTTTCCCAAACAGTGGGGCCGGGGGCATCACCAAGAGCCTGCTGCCCCGCTCAGAGCAGCCTGACCTTGCCCAGCTGATGGCCCTCTCCATGGAGCTGGCTTCGGGGACATGGTCCCCTGCAGAACTGGTGACCTGGATCCTGTAGCCGCGCTGGTGGCCCCACTTGTTTTTGCTGTTGGCTGCGAAGTAGATGTATCTGGGCAGCTTTGCCTGGAGCCGGAAGGCAGCCTGGTCCTCTGTGTCCAGGACTTTCTTGGTGAGCCGTGGCCGCTCTATCTGCTGCTCTGGGTTCCAGGGAGCCCGCACCATCTCGAAGGCCATGTCGTGGGCCACCAGGGAGTTCTTCACCCCTGTGAAGCAAAAGCAAAGTCACCGAGGAGCATCCCTGCAGTCCCCTGTGCTCCCCATGGACGTCTCCCCAGCCTCACTACCTGCACCCCAGGCTCTGAGCACCGGCTCCTGCCCGGGACAGCAGTTACAGCTCTGTAGCTCCAGTGCTCCATGATGCTGGGTGCACTTCTGTACGGCTCTAGCTTTGTCTGACCCAGGCAACACCACCACCCACAGGGACTCTCACCCTCTGCGAGAGACAGAGGGGAGCCCCATCCCAGTGCAGAAGAACAGGTTTGCTTCCCAGTGCAAGCAGACCCTAATTAAGTCTAGCACCTCATGATCCAGGCACCGTGTTTATGCTCATCAGCATGAGCCCTGGCAGCTGGAAAGCACCAGGAAGAGCCCAGGCTCGGAGTGCATTTGCACATCACAGAACTGGAGCCCTGCTGCACAGTTCAGGTCTTCCCACAGAGAAAAGGGATGGGCCAGAGGCTCAGAGCAACAGGAGCGGCTCAGGAGCAAATGAAGCCGGGGACAAGGTGGCAAAGACAGAGAGAAGTGGAGCTGCTGCTCCAGTTGCTGCTCTGAGCAGCAGAGCCGCATGCTCAGTGCCTGCCCCTGTGCCCCATCACACACCAGCAGCAGAAACAGCCCAAGGCAGCTCCAGGAAGCAGGAATGAAACCACAGAAGAGCTTGATCAACCCTGATCATGTGGGGCTAGGGGCAGGGGCTGTGCACGGGCAGGAGGGGAAGGACCCATCCCACAATGGGAAGGCACCAGCATGGGCATGACTGGATCTGCACAGCACCGAGGGGTGACTGCAGTGGACAGAGGGGGAACCCATCCCTGCATCGCAGCAGCTTCTCATTGCTCTAAGAACAGAAGGGAGGCAGGTCTGTGGGAGCACACCCCCCATCCACATGGAAACAAAAAACTGGGTAAGGACCAAAACCGTCAAGTTTTAGGAGTCTAAAAGTACTCAGAGATGGCTCAAAGGAGAGAAAAGACCCAGACCTACCTCCCACGTCCAAGTCCACTTTATAGTTGATGAAATGGGTGCGTATCGTACCCAGCGTGCGGTCCCAAACCCTATTGCCGTACCGCAGGCCATCCCCATGGAGGAAGGATGAGCTCGTGTACCCTGTAGCGTGGACCTTGCCTTCAACGGCCCCGTTCTGGTAGAAGATGAAGTCCCACACGTAGTCATGGTTGCCCACGGTGGCAATGGACCGAAGGACCAGGGCGGAGTTGACCAGCCCCCCGTAGTACAGCGACTGCAGGTTGGAGTAGTGCCGCCTCAGCGGGGAGCCCAGGTTCTGCTCAAAGATGCAGAGAGAATCCTTTCTCTTGCTGGGGCTCAGGCTCTCGGACAGGGAGTGCGTGTCGATGTAGGTGGCCGAGTAGGGGCAGTCGACCCCTCGCACCAAGGGGGAGGTGTAGCGCCCGATGCCGAAGCTGCCGTCCATGTACCTCGTGGACATCCCTGCGGGGCAGTTGGAGCCGTACACGGACATGGCCTCCTGGACGCTGATTTCGTAGGCAACCCTCTCCCCCTTGTGTCGGATGTCAAACAGGCGCAGGCCCGTGCTCACGCTCATGCCAAAGGCGAAGCTCCACGCCTGGTAGAGGACGTGGTTGTTCCTGACGCTGTAGCGGGGACCCTGCGGCTCGTACTGCAAAGGGAACGGCGCGGCCCGAGGCGCCCGTGGCTTCATGGACGAGAAGTCCCCGTCCCGCGGCGCTCTCCTCACCTTCTCCACGCTGATGCGACCCTGCACGTAGGCGCTCTCCAGCTGCACCATGTCCCCGTAGTACTGCCCGTTGTAGAAGACCCTGCTCACCGCCCAGCGGGACACGTCCAGGCTGCTGTGGTCAACCAGCACCTCCAGCCCCACCGGGTGCACGAAGAACCCGCTCACGTTCTGAAACAAGGCGAACCAGGACTTGCGGTCTCCAGACTGGAACCCGTGAGGGGCTGCGCTCTCAAACACCACATTGGTGCTGTCGTATTCCAGGACCTCCTTCAGAAAGGTCGGGGCTGCAGCGAATGCCACCGTCTTCAGGAAAGCTCCCACTTGCTCATACTCACTGCCCAGCATCGGTCTGCGGTGGTACGGCACCTTCCCCCCGTACCGGCGCACCGTCACGTCCCGGTGATACAGCGGCGTCGGCAGCGGCCCCACCACGTACTCGGTGACGTTGGGCTCTGCCTGCTCCCCAAAGTACAGCACAGCCAGCGCCTCGCGGGGGGGACGAGCCCCCGCCCCGTCCAGGAACCGCAGCGCCTCTGCCTTGGCCGGCACCTGCAGCTCCACGGAGGCGATGCAGTTGTCGGAGGGCTTTGCCCGCGCGGCGTCCACCAGCCGCAGCCCGAGGTGTCCCCGCAGGTACCGCACCACCTGGGCCAGCTCGGCGGGGGTCAGGTCCGCAAAGACCAGGCTCTGGCTCCTTGATCCCGTCTCCTCCTCAGTGCGGGGCTGGGATTCACAGCCAGGGGACCGCCTGCCCCTGCTCAGCAGCACGCAGGACAGAGCCAAGATCACCACGGCGGCCCCCGCCAGCAGCACGTAGAGCAGTCTGGGGTTCATCTCTCCGAGCGCAGAGCCCACGAGCAGGGCTCGGCTGCAGCATCCAGGATACGTCCCTCTCTTGCAGAGCAGGCTCTTAATCCCTTTGCCATCTGTGGGCGTCAAGGCGTCTCGTTGAGGTGGGGATGGAGCCTGGAGCTTGCATGGGGCTGAGAGGAGATCACAGGTCCCAGCCAGTTCATCCTGTTTCCTCCCTACCCCAGACACCCTGGGGAAGCCAGCACGGAGCCGGTGCCTGACTCACACCCCAGCTCCTGATGGGTTTCTCTGCTGCAGGGCGACGCCGCAGAGCCCCATCCTCTGCCTGCCCAAGGGCCGTTTGCTTCTTGCAGCATCTCCCATGAGACCCCATCCCTTCTCCTGTGGGAGCGCAGCGATGCCATGGGGGGAAGCGATGCCAGCTCAGTCCTTCTGCACCTCAGTGCCCTGGGACCAGCCCTGCTTCCATGAGGAACCAGTGCTCCAGGAGAGCCCAGGACCTGCAGCTCCTCGGCACCTCCCCAGGCCAGTTCTCCCTGTCCCCACTCCCTGTCCCTCCCAGCCCTGCGGGAAGGGGCTCGGCTGCTCCAGCCACGGGCACACAACCTGAGACAGGAGGAAGCTCCCCGGTGAGAACGGGCAGCGCCCACCAAACCCCTGGGAGCAAGCACAGGCGAGAGGCAGCGCCTGGAGCTGCTGCAGCAGGAAGAGCAGAGGCTGAAGGGCGACCAGCGGGACACATCTGTCCCCATTCAGCCAACCCAGCCGCACTCCAGAGGACGTGATCCTCAGGCAGAAGCTGTCCCACACAGAAATAGCCTCTGTCAGGAAACCTCCGCCTTCCTGACCCCACGATCGAGAGCAGCGAGCAGGGCTCAGGGCCACCCCGGCGCAGCGTGAGGAGGCTGCTCCTGCACGGGCACCACTTTCTGCAAGGCTGCTCCCACTGTGGCCCCGTGCGAGGCGGCAGCGATGCTCCGTCAGAGGCAAGGATGGAGCACAGGAGCATGGTCCATGTCACTGCCTTCCGGTGGGGCCAGTCTGAGGCACAGATGGGAGGGTCAGGCTGAGGCTGCAACCACTGGATCAACTCAGCACGCTTGTGATGCTGTTAATTCAGGAGTTTCAGTTTTCATTCTCACTTCCATCCTCACCCTTTTCCCCTGTAGGTCCCACACCAGCCTCGGATGAGGATGCAAGCAGCCCCTGTGGGAGATGCCCCGTTGTTGCTGTGCTGCAGTTTTGCTGAGCCCTGCTGCTGGGGAAGGGCTCCCCTCCCTCGCTGGGGAATGGGTCTGGGCTCTCACACAGCTCTTCTCGAGAGCGTTTTGCAGCAGCCGGGGCTGCGGGTCTGGAAGCAGAGCTCGGAGCAGAGCATCGCCACCATGCAGGAACTGGATCTTAGCACGTCTCCGTGCCTCACTCACAGGGAGGGAACCAGCATCCAGCCTCTTCCCGGCTGTAACGACGGCAGCGGCTCCTTTCAGGGCCACACAAACCACGGCACCGCAGGCGGGTACCAGAGAGCCTGCTGGAGCGGCTGCACTGGATGCACATCACTCCCGCATGCAGCGGCAGCCACTGGAGCTGCATTCCCCCTCGCTCTGCTGCAGCCGCAGCCTCTGGTCCTGTGCAGATGCCGAACGTTCTTCCCCCTGCGTTTCACAGGAGCAGGTTTCAGTAACCCCGAACGCCACCAGCGCTGCCCTCGCACCTCCCCAGCCTGCACCCGCTGCAATGGCCTTTAAAGGGAAGCAAAGCCCTTGGAGGCTCGCAGGGCAGACGCCAGCACTGCGCTGCTCAGCGCCGGCAGCAGCGAGCGGCTCCCTGCACTCCCAGAACTCCGCAGGGATCCGCAGCCAAAACCCATGACTCGGAGCAGGAGCAAAGGGAATTTGCTGGCTCCCTACAGAACTCCGCAGCCGGGGGCTTGGGGTGCAGCTTACCGGTGTTTGCTCACAGGAGGAGCAGGAGGGAGCTGCACGAGCTCAGCCCCGCAGGACACCGGTCCTGCTGCCTGCCTCACGCTCGGCACTCAAGGTACCAAAAGGACTTCCCCAAGTTACCGGAGCAGCATCGGGCACCAAAGAGCTGGTTCCCACCTCCAGCGCTGCAGACGGGGCCGTGCCTATGGCAACGAGCCCCGTGCCAGGCGGAGGCCTCCAGGAAACACAAACATTTTGCAGCTGCTACCTTCATACTTTCCTTGGCCTGGACACGCAGCTCCCAGACAATTCCCACTGCCTCCAACTCCATCACCTCAGCAGGCTGTTCCATGCATAGGAATGACTTTGCAGTGAAAGAAGAGGTTGGGAGAGTGGAAAAGCAGAGTTCAGATGTTACTTGGGGGGTGGGGGTCAACAGACAGGGGGCAACCCCCCAGAGCATTGGGGTTTACCAAGATAATGGCAGGCAGTAAAGGAAGACCCAGACCTACCTCCCACGTCCAAGTCCACTTTATAGTTGATGAAATGGGTGTGCATCGTACCCAGCGTGCGGTCCCAAACCCTATTGCCGTACCGCAGGCCATCCCCGTAGAAGAAGGATGAGCTCGGGTACCCCGTGGCCTGGACCTTGCCTTCAATGGCCCCGTTCTGGTAGAAGATGAAGTCCCACACGTAGTCGTAGTTGCCTACGGTGGCAATGGACCGAAGGACCAGGGCGGAGTTGACCAGCCCCCCGTAGTACAGCGACTGCAGGTTGGAGTAGTGCCGCCTCAGCGGGGAGCCCAGGTTCTGCTCAAAGATGCAGATGGCACCTTTACTGCCTTGAGGGACCTGAGAATGGGCCAGGAAGTGCACATCCAGGTACGTTGCGAAATAGGGGCAGTCGACCCCTCGCACCAAGGGGGAGGTGTAGCGCCCGATGCCGAAGCTGCCGTCCATGTACCTCGTGGACATCCCTGCGGGGCAGTTGGAGCCGTACACGGACATGGCCTCCTGGACGCTGATTTCGTAGGCAACCCTCTCCCCCTTGTGTCGGATGTCAAACAGGCGCAGGCCCGTGCTCACGCTCATGCCAAAGGCGAAGCTCCACGCCTGGTAGAGGACGTGGTTGTTCCTGACGCTGTAGCGGGGACCCTGCGGCTCGTACTGCAAAGGGAACGGCGCGGCCCGAGGCGCCCGCGGCTTCATGGACGAGAAGTCCCCGTCCCGCAGCGCTCTCCTCACCTTCTCCACGCTGATGCGACCCTGCACGTAGGCGCTCTCCAGCTGCACCATGTCCCCGTAGTACTGCCCGTTGTAGAAGACCCTGCTCACCGCCCAGCGGGACACGTCCAGGCTGCTGTGGTCAACCAGCACCTCCAGCCCCACCGGGTGCACGAAGAACCCGCTCACGTTCTGAAACAAGGCAAACCAGGTGATGCGGTCTCCAGACTGGAACCCACGAGGAGCGGCCGTCAGGGCTGCGAGGCTGCCTCCATCGTACTCCATCACTTGGCGCATGAAGGATGGAGCTGTGGGGAACACTTGGCTCTTTAAAAACCCGGCCAGCTGCTTGTATTCGACAGCCAGCGTCGGTCTGCGGTGGTACGGCACCTTCCCCCCGTACCGGCGCACCGTCACGTCCCGGTGATACAGTGGCGTCGGCAGCGGCCCCACCACGTACTCGGTGACGTTGGGCTCTGCCTGCTCCCCAAAGTACAGCACAGCCAGCGCCTCGCGGGGGGGACGAGCCCCCGCCCCGTCCAGGAACCGCAGCGCCTCTGCCTTGGCCGGCACCTGCAGCTCCACGGAGGCGATGCAGTTGTCGGAGGGCTTTGCCCGCGCGGCGTCCACCAGCCGCAGCCCGAGGTGTCCCCGCAGGTACCGCACCACCTGGGCCAGCTCGGCGGGGGTCAGGTCCGCAAAGACCAGGCTGTGGCCGCCGTCGGGGTCCTCCTGCGCCGGGGGCCGGTGCGGGCAGGCACCGGGAGCCCTGCCCCTGCTCAGCAGCACACAGACCAGCGCCAACACAGTGGCTAAAGCCAGAGCCAGGAGCACGAGCGCGGTTCTCACGTTCATGGCTCCGCTGGTCCCTGGGCCCTCGCAGCAGCTCGGAGCTGGGTTTCCAGCTGCTCCTCTCTCCGTTTAGGCTGCACTGGATGGGTGAGCAGGGTGAGCACAAAGGACTGGGAGAGGCCAGGGGAGGAGATCCGAGCTTGGTGGTGACCAGAAAGGGCAGATCTCTCTCTGCAGCCTCCTGTGTCCTCCCCGAGCAGTGTCTGAAGGCAGCAGTGGAGATGCAGGGTCAGTGACTCAGACAGGCTCCACAGAACTCCGTTACTCCTTCAGTCCAAGCTCGCTTCCTGCGGCTGCCTGTAAAAGCGCAGCTCCTGTCGTCAGCCCGAGGTGCCTGCGACCTCCGCCCGGCTCTGACAAGCTGGGAATTGTTGCCATGCTGTAGAATTCCACCTCTTTGCGACTCGTCGCGTTTCCTCCTTGTAAACACGGTCCCGGGCAGCCCCGTCCCGAGCTTGCAGTGGCTTTTTATTTATTTTCTCTTAAATCCTCCCCACGGAAGCCTTTGCGGAGAACACATCACTTGTGTAGCACCGGAGCAGCTCTGGCAGGCACGGAGAGAGGGAGCTCAGGGTGAGATTCAGGCACCGGTGCGCTGTGAACAACCAGCTCTCAGTCTGCACCTCCGAGCAGCCATGAACTCATTCATTCCACTGAAACAAGCCCTCACTGCTTCCAGTTCACAGGCGACTGAAGGGCAGCTCCTGAGAAGTTCCCTCAAGGACAAAGCCACCCCAACCTGTGGCACCCAGGGCTTGGGGCTCAATCCTGCCCGAGGCTGGGGGTCAGACCGCTCCAATCCCTGCCTGTCCCCGCTGGTGCTGGGAAGCGGAAGGCATCCAAGAGAGCCATGGCTGGAGATTCAACCCAACATTTCCACTCCTGCTGCCAGCCTCACCTCACCTCACCCTGGCCCTTCTCATCCTCCCCCCCGACAGCTTCCCGGCCGTGCTCACCAGACACCACACTGGCAGGCAGGAGGCCACATTGCCATAGGACACGCTCCATTATCCTCACCACCACAGGCAGCCTCAGCCTTCTTTAGCCCAGGCTGCAGCTGTGCAGGGCAGGGACACGCACGCCCGTTCCCTGCCAGCAATGTGTCATCGCTGCCTCACCGGCCGCTGCGCCAGCGCCGGCAGAGCCACGGCTCCCGGTGCACGTGGCGCCGGTGCCAGAGGAGGGCACGGACACAAGTGATGGGGAGAGATGGGACGGATGAGGACAGAGCCTTGGCTACACGGGATGCAGCAGCTGCAGGTTTCAGAGGTACCCTGCTCTCCCCAACTGGCCTCTAGTGGCAGAATGCCTCTGAGCAGCCACAGATGAAGCAAAGATGCGCTGATGTCCAAGTCAAGTCTTTCAATGGATGCTCTCAAGGCTTTGAGGGTTACTTGGGGCTAGGCCTGAAAGAAAAATTCCCTTTCCATGTAAGCCTGGAACAGGGAATCTGTTTCACCCAGCATTGCACGAGTGCTCTGCACCAACACACACCTACAGAGCCGAGCCAAGAGGATGCACAAGCCCCCGAGGCCACAGGCACAGTGCTCACACTGACACAAAGAGCAGAGCCTCCAGTTTTCCCTTTGCCTCTTGGTTTTGCATCCCAAGTCCCTAAAGGTCAAGGCAGAGGCTGCAATTACAGACGGTCATTTTCTAAGCAGCGCAGCAGTACTTTAAAGACCTGGATGAGCTCCACAGGCTTGAGTGCCCCACAAATCACAACTCAACCCTGCAGCTCGCCTGGGAGACGTCTGAAAATAAAGGGTGGGAACAGCCCTGGGTCTGTGCACGTCGGGGTTTGGAAAAGAAAGAGAAACCCTGACCTGGAATGACATCCCCACGACAAACCAGCGCACGGCACACACCCGGGGCTGCAGGGTGTGTGCCATGGGTGCATGTCTGATACCCCGTTATCAAACCATGTCCTCTTCTGCTGCGCTTCTCAAGATGAGGACTTGTAAAGCTTCTTAAAGCAACACAAGAATCAGCCTGCACTTGCTGGGAGCAACGTTTAGGACGGAACAGCCCTAAATCCACCTACATCTTGCAGCAGGAATTTCAGGAAGCAGAGCAACTACCAGAGCCTGCAGAGCCAGGAAACCCATGTCGATACCTTCCTGATGGAAGCACTCAAGGATCTTTAAGGGCCACATCACTGAGATGCTCGTGGTACCTTCTCCAAAAGAAGCCTGAGGCAGCTTAAGCCATGTCTCTCAAACAGCAGCATAACTTGCTCATGACTTGTTTGGTTCATGGCGTTTGATGCCCTTCGCCCCGGCCCACACCTGATGGGGAGAATTCACATCCTCCTCCTGGTGTTTATTTTGGCTCCCAGTTCTTTTGGACACTGCCCATTGGCGCCTTTGATAATTGCAGACATCTCCCAGACAAAGCAAGGAGGGAGTTTGCTCGCACAGAGATATGGAGGGAGCAAACACCAGCCTCTCCCATCTATAGAAACCGACCCCAGAGACAGGCAGCGGACACTCTGGAACTGGCAGACACCTGGGAGAGAACAGCACAGGGAACCCTGTGCCAACGCTCCCGACACAGGCAAGGCTGAAGCACGCCCCGGGCCAGACCTCAGCCTTTGGAAAACTCCCATTCCCTCATCTCACGGGGTCAGCTCCTGTGCAACAGAACAGCGGGAACTGCCTGACCCTTCCCCACGGCGGCCGCGGATGGGAGCGTCTGCACCCAACTGCTGGGCCTTTGTTCTCCTCCCAGAGTTTAACAGCCCCCGTGTAGGAGCTGGGCTGTCACCCGTGAACAGCCCCAACAGCGCAGTGCCACTTGGAGAGCAGAGCACAAACCCCTGCACTGAGGGGTGAGGGTCACGGACAAGAAACCCTCCCCTGCTCCTGGCTTCCAGCCCAGCTCCTGCCTGTCAGGCACCAGCAGGACTCTCCCAGCCCCAGCAGCACAGGGAAGGCAGGAGCGTGTCCTTGAGCCTCCCCCAGCAGGAGACACAGAGGCCAGGGACAGCCCTTTCCTTGGCACCACATGCACGGAGCAGGCAAGAGAGGAAAGAAACACACGCAGCAATGGATGCTGCAGTCTCAAGGAGACAACACACAAAGCACACAAGGTGCCTGAGTCCCATGCACTGGGCTGAGGTGGGACAGAACAGCTCAAACACAAAACCGTGGGGCCAAAGGCAAGCTGCAGTAGAAACAACCTACAGAGCAGTGCAGAGCATTTACAACAGAGAGAGGCACGAGGAGAATGCAGGGAAGGAGCAACTGGATGTGAGAAAGGCACAGCCACTGGCCCTGCGCAGCCTGGGAGCTCGGCATCACACACAAGGGGCTACCTTAGAAGAATTCCAAGTACCTCATTTTAATTTCTTGACATGGTCAAAGTTTACATACGTTCATCTGGCAAAGAGAGCCCAACAACTCAAAAGGAATCAATACAAACACAAGGGGAAGTGCTGCTCCCAGACAGCAGCCAGAATGCAGTTGGTTTGTTACTGAGCATTTATTAGCGGGAAGACTAAGAGTTGACTTACTACAAACAACAACAGAAGAGTCTATAGCAAGGGCCAGCAGCCCTCCACACTCGGGGCAAATCCCTGGGAAACCAGCAAGAGACACCACGGCTCTTAGAGGTGGAAGCAGAAGAAACAAAGAAACTAAGTAAAAAACAAAGGGAAGGGAGAGAATTCATTCCATTTGTCACTGTTGTTACAATGGGGGGAACACAACTATTAAGGCTACTGCACAATGAGAATATACAGGTGTAACAGCGAGACCTGGGCAACAGTGAGGTTCCTGAAACAAATGACTTCACATTCCCTGAAGAGGGGACTTAAGTAGAAATACTATAAATAAGAAAAATTTTGGAGCTTGCAGCGTTCTGGGCCCATTTGCCACACACAGAAACTGATGCAACACAACCAGTCATTCCCAAAGGGGTTTGTAATGGACCATGAAACGTCCCGGAGGAGCCCCCAGGCACACGAGCATGCCCTCTGCAGGGGAAGGCCTACAGGGTCTGCCATGGGACCAGGTAGGTGGGCACCAGCCATCCTCACCCCAAGCACCAGCTGCACGGGAGCACTGCCAGGGGACAGCGGGGCTCAGCCTGAGCACGTGTGGAGACTACCAGGAGTTAGTATCGGACCCCGGCCCCCCCTCCTCTCATGCTGAAGGGGCAGCAGGATGTGTGTGAATAACGTTGGGTTTAGCCAAGAAAGGGGCTCTAAGTCCAATCACAACCAGGGGCAGAAGCCACCTGAGCTCCTGACCAGCTGGGACAGTGACCAGCTGAGTTTCAAGCACCACCTTGTGCTGCTCTGCACTGATCTAGCCAGAACTGACAAGGCAGAGGGACATGGGGCAGGTTCTGCTGTCAGGAGAGAGCCAGGAGGGCAGAGCGGGCAGCAGCACCAGGACCAGGAGGGGCAGGCTCCCCTGTCCTTGCAGAGCACCAGCAGCAGAGGGGCCCAGCAGCAAAGAGCCAGCTTCTCCCCCACAGCACCACCACCCCAGCATGCTCTGTCTGCCCCACTCCCAGAGACCCCAGCTAAGAGATGGGGCAGGACAGGGGCTTGGTCTCTAGTGTCGCTCCTACTCAGGTAGGAAGAAAGGCATGAAGGAATGTTCCTGCCTGGCTGGTGCTCTCACTCCAAAGCAGCCTCTAGGGCACCCCAAAGCAGCACGGCCTTCTCGGTACCAGTTACTAGAGGGAGGGAGAGCTCCTGAGACCTGAACAAAACCAATCACAAAACTAGGCAAGAGTTTCTTTAGAGTTTAACTAAGAATGCGATACTATTTCCAGCCAGTTTCCCATCTCGATAGTCACGTAACAAACCAAGGCAATGACGGTCTTTAGCTGACTGAACAGTTCTCAAGTTCAAACGTTGACACTTAATAGAGGGTCTCAGCATTGCTGCTCCGAGGCCTCTTGATCTTCTCAATGTTTTTAAGGATCATGTCATGCAAAGTGACCTGCAAAAAGGGAGACAAGGCCTCAGACAGGGTGAGGGGATGCAGCATTCAGCCTTCACAACGAGCCCAGGTTAAAGCAGCAGCATAGCTCACGCTGGCACTACCCTCATCCCTTGCATGCAGTCGCATCCCCAGTCTAAGGGCTTCTTCCAGCCAGACTGTGCAGAAGTCACCACATGTAACGCAGAAATGATTTCTCTAAGGACCCCAGGGATAGCTTGGGCTGCAGGGAGAGCTCAGGAGGTGCTAGATACCAGCACCCCCAGGAGAGGTGACAGTCAGTTCCTCTCATCAGAGCGGGGAGGAGGCAGGAGCGGGTGTACCCCAAGGGGAAGGGCAGGGCAGGAGGGTCACAAGGGCTCTCTCCTGTTGGCAAGCTCCAGTTTTCCACTTACATATTGATTCCTCAGCTCTGAAATGATCAGGCGCAGACTAATGTACTCCTTCTCGTCGATCTCGGTCACGGTGCGGCGATAGTCCTCCTGCAGGGAGCAGAGGCTGAGCCCAGCGCTGCCTCCCCAGCACCAAGGGAACCCCCCCACCCCTTCAACTGCTCTCCTCTAATGCAGATGTCCTGCATCCCTGCACAATCCCTCCCTGCCCCTCCCAAGACCCTCAGCCCAAAAAGGACAGTGATGAAGTGGCCCAAAGAGTCCCCAAAAGCAGCAGCATGTACCATGTACATCTCCACTTCCCCACTCACTTACCACATGAGGGTACTTAGCTATTTTGGAAACCAATTTTGCTCTTGTGATATAATATCTGATAAGAAAAGGGAGAGACTAAAGGTCAGATTAACAGCACCGAGATCTTTTTCAGGCCCAAGCTGCCCTAGGAAAGCTGGGGGACCTTCCCCAAGCACCTCCCTTTCCCAAGGGGCTCCCACAAACAAGGCTTGTCCTTGCATGCCTACCTAGAAATCTGGTCCAGGTAGGACGCTGCCTCACTCTCCACAGTTCGAAGCTCAGCGACTGTTTCCTCCTGCAGGGAAGAGGAGGAAGTCATTGGCTGCATGAGACTGCTCACTAGGGCTCTGCAAGCAGCACGTCTCAGCAGTGCCATGTCAAGCTCAGGCTGGGCTTTTAACACCTGAGTGAACACTATCAAATGAAAGATTCAGAGGAAGCCAAGAGATCCCTGTCCCTGGAGCACAGCTCCTCCTGCAGCAGGGCAGTGAGTAGAGCCAGCAGGGCCTCACCTGAATAGAAACACCAAAGTTGTTTCCATCTTCTATCCTGGGAATGAGAAGCTGCACCCACATTTTGACCTGTGGTGGAGAGATCACAGCACTGATCAATACTGACACCTCCACAGAGACCGTGCTCAAAAAGGTATGGAGGGGGCCAGAGAAGGGCCACAAAGATGATCAAAAGTTGAGAGCTGGGCTTGTTCAGCCTATAGAAGGCTCCAGGAAGGCCTCACCCCCACATTCCCGTGTTTAAAGGGTGGCTACAAAGAAGAGTGAGACCCCCTTTTGACAAGGACTCACATGGAGGAGAGGAGGGGTGATGGGCACAAGTTACTCCTGGGGAGATTCCAGCTGGACACAGGGAAGTTTTTCCCAATGAGAACTATCAGCTGCTGGGATAATCTCCCCAGGGAAGTGGTGGGGTCCTCAGTACCGGACACTGTTAAGATTCAGCTGGGCAGAGTGCTGGGCTATCTAGTGTAGGTCACGGTTTGCCTAGAAAGGTTGCACCAGATGATCCTTGAGGTCCTTTCCGAGCTGGGATTCTAGGATTATTTCCCTACACCTACCCCCAGCCACTCTCAGCCACTGCAATACAAATCCTGCCTTTCCTCATCCACAGAGTACAGAGGGGTCGGCTCCTTCCACCCAGAGCAGCTTTGCCTCCATCCTCCTGCTTCCACTTGGCTCCAGTGCTCATACCCACCGTATTACACTTCTCAATAAGCAGCCTGATTTCTGGTTTCACTTTCTCAATGATGTCCACCAGCTGCTGGTTGCTCTTCAGCATCCCATTGGGCATCACAAACACTTTGGTACCTACCAGCAGAGGAGAAAAACACCTCATCAGGACACACAGGAAGAGCTGCAGCAGCGGATCACACCGAAGGTCCACCTGAGCATCTGATCTCCTGCAAAGGCTTGTGGACACTGAGTCAAGCTATAGCTAACGTGCATGGAAGGGGAGATCTGACACGGGATGACAGCAGTTACCACAAGGGAAGAAGAGAGAACATGGAGCTGGAGAGCTCCAGGCTGCTGAGCCTGGGCACAAGGGATTTCCTGCTCCAAGTGTGCGAGCTGTTTGTGCCTCAGCTTAAGCCAAAGCCTGGTGTCTTCCTCCAGACAAGGAGAGCCACAGGGAGATGAGCTGCCTCTGTCAGCAAGCCAAGCTCAAGCAAGTACTACTTGTGGCTATCAGAGAAGTCCTAATTATGCTTCTGAGAGCTGGAACCTGACTCCTCCTCAACAGAAGTGTGGGTCAACCTTGGAGAGGTCGTGCGGACAGGCCTGCATGAGCAGCAGCTGCTGTGAGGACAGGGCAAGTGGGATTCGTGCCATTTCATATCCCCAGGGCGTGGTGCACTGGCTCAGGGTGCAAGCAGCAACACAAGGGACTTGGGGACTCTTACCCTGAAAGGTCTCCTCGCGGTCCTCCAGCTTCCTCTTTTTCATATTTGGCTAAAACATACAAAATGTTTTACTCACAAACTACTCGGGAGCTACAGCAGTGTCCCAAAGGAACCAAGGGAAACTTCAGAGCCTCTGCTACGCTCCTGGATCTAAGCATCCTTCTTTAAGAGCCAAGAAGGTCTGCAGAGCACAGTACTGCCTTCAGCAGACTTCCCAGAGCAGTTCCTAAGAGCCTTTGGGAGAGCCATGGCCTTTTACTGAGTGAGAATATACCTACTCCAGCACAGGGCAAGCCATGCAGTTTTAATCAAGAGAAGCAGGGATCACAGCCAAGAGAGTAACCTTACCCCATCCAGTCCATCGTGGCTGTTTGTGAGAAGAATTGGGTCAGGCACTGGGAGGTTCATGTCCGAATGGATCTGAGTGAGATCATGAATATTCAAGATAGGATCCTGGAAAATAAAGCAGATTTGTTATTTAATTATGAGTGAAGAAACTTTGTCCCACCAAACACAATGAGAAGACAAAAGATCCAGCTCTCTCTCGTATCCAACTATAAAATAAGGACAAATGAAACAGAAAGGGTCTAACAATAAGCCTGTGAGGAGCCCTCCCTCCACCCAAGAGCAGCGTGCCAGCTCCAGCCTGGATCAAAGCTATCAACTGCCTGCAGGGCTGGAGCCATGTGAGAGCACAGCACAGCCCCGCGTAGCAAAACATGTAAGAAAGATAAATGTGGTGATCACACAAAGAAAACTGCAAGGGGAAGCACCCCCTCTAGAGCCAACAGCCCTCAAATGCATGCGAGCGACTGAGCTGCAGCTTCACCCCCGTGCGACACAGCGAAAGACACAAGAGGCCAGGGCCTGCCACGGTGCTATCAGCGCTCAGCTTGGAGGTGAAAAAGGAGATGGGAAGATCTCACCTTGAGGAACCCATCGAGTTCTAACAGCTTCTTTGGGAAAAAGTTTGCCACCAGGTCTTCAGCCTGAGAGAGAAAGCACAGACAACGATGGGAAACAGCTCCCACCGCTAGAGAACAGCAGGAACCCAACTGTCCAAAGGCAGGAAGCAGCAGGGAACACGAGTGCTGTGGCTGCTGCCACACTGAGGCAGGGTGAGAACGGGCCAGGAGAGCACGAGGCTCGAGCCCCTCGCCACGGCTGGTGGCTGATGGGCTGCGGAGCTTCCTGGAGAGGCTCAGACCACAGCCAGGTCTCTCGGGGACATGGACCCGATGGGTTTGTCCCCATCCCACCAGCAGCAATACGGGGGGGGGACCCTCACCTCGCTTGTGATCCGCTCCCTGAAGGAATCCACCTGCAGGAGGAGAAAAGCAGCACTTCAGTCACTCCCGAGCCATACCGAGCGCCTCGGGGGCGCCTCCTGCCCTCCGAGGGACCCCCGGGAGCTGACCGAGCCGCTGGGCACCGAGCGGCCGCTGCCGGGGGCGCCGGAAGCTGCTCCGCCTGCGCGGGCCGGGCCCTAGCGGCCCATCCATCGGCACGAGGAGAACCCAACACCGGGCCGGCGGCGGCACCGGGCGCGGAGGGGCAGGCTCCAGACCTCGCTTGGGCCAGCGCCCGCCCTCCCGGTGCGGCGGCGGCCGGGCCGTGCTCAGCGCCCTCACGTGCAACGGCCGCGGTGGAACCAGCGGGCAGCGGCAGCAGCGGCGGCGGCGGCGTGAGGCCGCCCCGCCCCGAGGCCCGGGCCCAGCCCGCGCGGCGGGGGCGCTGAAGAAGGGGGGGAGGCCGCCGGCGGGGTGCGCACCTTGAGCTTCACCTCCGGGTCCACCTTGAGCAGCGAGGCCATGGCGGCGGCGGCGGGCGGGGAGCGTCCGGTCCGCTCCGGTCCGGGGGATGCCGCGGGGGCCGCGCTGCCGCTGCCCCAACACCGGCGTCGCCGCCAACCACCGGAACTGACGTCACGCGGCGCGCCCGCCAATTGGCCGCGCACTCTCCCTCCGCCGCCGAGCCCGAGGTCCTGGCTGCTCACGTTAAAAATGGCCGCCCCTCGTTACACCCCTGACAGGACCGCGCCCCCGCGGCCGCACGTCACATCCGCCGCGCGGCGGTGGCGATGGCGCGGGGCTGAGCGGGCATGGAGGGCAGCCGCGGGGCCGGCGGCACGGCGCAGGTCAGCTTCGTGTGCCAGCGCTGCGGGCAGCCGCTCAAGCTCGACACCTCCTTCAAGATCCTGGACCGCCTCACCATCCAGGAGCTCACCGGTACCGCGGGGCGGAGGGCGGGCGGCGGGGCGGGCTGTGGGGCCGGGCACGGGTAACGCCTCCTCTCCCGCAGCCCCGCTGCTGGCCGCTGCCCCTGCCCGGCCCGGGGACGCGCACGAAGAGGAGAGCGCCCTGACGGAGGTACGGCGGGGTCGGGTGCGCTGGTGGGGGTGTCCCCTTACGGTCCTGTGTCCCCTGCCGTGCCCGGTGACGGTGTCCGCTTGTCCCGCAGGAAGCCTTCGCGGAGAACCGGCAGGATGGCGTGTCCAGGCGGTTCATCCCGCCGGCCAGGTACGGCCGCGCTCCCGGCAGGCCCCATCCGCCCCTAGCCCGGGGAAATGGGGTCCCATCCGTCCCATCCCCGCCGGCAGAACGGGGTCCCCTCAGCAGCGGGGCCCAGCTGAGCCCTGCACGTAGCAACCAGTCCTGTGTGAGCTCTGTTTCCCCCGGGAGTGCGTGGGGCTGCCTGGGGCTGCCCCTTACCTCCGGGTGAACCCAACCACCGTCCCCTAGAGCTCACCCGCAATCCAGCTCCTCCTCTCCTGTGCTCGTCCCTTCTGCCTCTTAACCCAGCCTCAGGTTTAAGCCTGGCCCCTGAGCACTCAGCTCTCCATTAAATTCTTTCCAAGAATGATGTCAACAGAAAGCGCCAACAGCTTCACGCTGATTGGGGAGGCGTCGGATGGCGGCACCATGGAAAACCTCAGCCGCAGACTGAAGGCAAGTTGTGCGGGAGCTGGTAAGTTTGGGTACCTCCGAGCCAGAGCAGCACTCGTTCTGGATGCTCTGGGAGACGCAGCACTGGCCTCCCGGTGTATTGGGGGTGAGGTTTAGGTGAGGAGCCAGCAGCAGCCACGGCTTCACCCAACCTGATGGCAAACGCTTCCTGCAGGTCACCGGCGACCTCTTTGACATCATGTCCGGGCAGACAGACGTGGATCACCCTCTGTGTGAGGAGTGCACGGACACGCTGCTGGACCAGCTGGACACCCAGCTTAACATCACCGAGAACGAGTGCCAGAACTACAAGTGAGTGAGCTGGAGGCAACCCAGGACCAAGTAGCTTTAGGCTGGGGGAAGCCCAGAGCCTTCCCATGACCATTGGGATATCCCTGACTTGAGCACTTGGGGTTTTCTTTGATTGACATGACACCTTCACCTGTGAGAGTCCCGTGGTAACAGCTTCTCCAGCTGAGGTCTGTGGCATTCCAGTGCAACCCAGGGCTCCACAGAGACAGTTCCTGTCAGGCAGCGGCAGCCCTCGGTCACCATCTTGCTCCCCTGCTCTGTGTATTCCTGACTCATGGTGCAGGATCAACACAGCTTGGGAACAACAGCAGTGGGAGATCCCAGTCCCCATCTGCACTGCTGCCAGCAGGAGCCTCCCTGCCATCCCTGGTTTGGTAATCCTGGCGCTCTCCTTTAGGAGGTGTCTGGAGATCCTGGAACAAATGAACGAGGATGATAAGGAGAAGCTGCAGATGGAACTGAAGGAACTCGCACTGGAAGAAGAGCAGCTGATCCAGGAGCTGGAGGATGTCGAGAAGAATCGCAAGGTTGTGGCTGAAGACTTCGAGAGAGTCCGGGCAGAGGCGGAGCGGCTGGAGCAGGAAGAAGCTCAGTGAGTGACCCACAGCTCAGCTTATGGCAGGGATTTTAAGTAACAGATAAATGAGATTATAACGTAGAGAAAGCTGTAAGTAACAGCCAAATGCAGGTGGCTTGGTCTTTGCAAAACTGGAGTTGGCATGGCCAAATAAGCCCTGGAGTACCAGGAGAGCAATTGCTTGTCTGTACATGCACTTGACATTTGTTGTCTTGCTCTTGTTCAAAGGTATCAGAAGGAATACTGTGAATTCAAGAGGCAACAGCTGGAGCTGGATGATGAGCTTAAGAGTGTGGAGAACCAGATGCGCTACGCCCAGATGCAACTGGATAAACTAAAGAAAACCAACGTGTTCAACGCCACCTTCCACATCTGGTACCGTGGGGCTGCTCGGAGCAGGGACAGCACTAATGGGGTCACACATACCTAAAGGAGGCTGCAGAGAGGCTGTTGTTGATAAGGGCCTGTAGGGACAGCACAAGGGGAATGGCTTGAACCTGCCAGAGGGGGGATTGAGATGAGCTCTTAGGCAGAAGCTCTTCCCTGTGAGGGTGCTGAGGCGCTGGCACAGGGTGCCCAGAGAAGCTGTGGCTGCCCCATCCCTGGCAGTGTTCAAGGCCAGGTTGGACAAAGGGGCTTGGAGCAAGCTGCTCTAGTGGAAGGGGTCCCTGCCCGTGACAGGGGGTTGGAAGTGGATAAGCTTCAGGGTCCCTTCCAACACAAACCAGTCTGGGATTCCATGATAAACAGATAACAAGGGTTTTCTATTTACATACGATTTGTAATCAGAGCCCCAACCCCCCTTTGCTGAGCTCCCCGTGCATGGGGGATGGCTGTTACACCGCAGCCATCACACACTTTACTGCCAGAAGCTGTTCCTGCTCCAGCAGTTTATTTCTAATTCCTCCTATCACAGGCACAGTGGTCAGTTTGGCACAATAAATAACTTCAGACTTGGCCGGCTCCCCAGCGTGCCTGTAGAATGGAATGAGATCAACGCTGCCTGGGGGCAGACTGTGCTGCTGCTCCATGCCCTTGCAAACAAAATGGGCCTGAAGTTTCAAAGGTACATGCCATGTAACGCAGCTTTTGCTTCTGGCCCAGACAGAGACAGTTGGGGTCATCTGCCTGTGAATCCCATCTCCTTTCAGATACCGTCTTGTACCATATGGCAACCACTCATATTTAGAGTCCCTCACGGACAAATCAAAGGTAAGAGACCCCACACAAGTCACACTGACCTTGAGTGCCACAGAGCCCTGGTCACAGAAAGCAAACTTAGCTTTTTGTGTCTATGGTACAGGACAACTACGTGCCACAACTTCTCTAACAAAATAACTAGTATCTAATCTAGTAATTCCATATCCTGTATCAAGCTGCTCTTCCTGCCACCTGGTTAAAAACAACAGGACTCTGGAGTCAAACACTGCACTGGCCAGAGGAAGATGGTGTGGGCTGGTTGTTGGCGATTAGGAACCCAAGCCTGCACGTAACAGGCACCAACCACAAAACAAGTCACACTTGCTACGTGCCACAAACCATTTCTAAGGATCCGCTGACAAATTTAAGCCTCACACTACAGAGGACTAAAGAGCTGCAATGACTATATCTAAATGGGAATACTTAGAGTGCTTGAAACCCATCTCTTTTCCAGGAGCTTCCCTTGTACTGTTCTGGAGGCCTGAGGTTCTTCTGGGACAATAAATTTGACCATGCGATGGTGGCTTTCCTGGACTGCGTGCAGCAGTTTAAAGAGGAAGTGGAGAAAGGGGAAACCCGGTTTTGTTTGCCCTACAGGTGAGTGCTGCTGTCTGACACAGCAAGTGAACACCTCATGTGCAGCCCCACACAGCACCGACTGACATGGTTCTGCCCTGGAATCAGCCCGTGATCTTTATAACGTGCAAGATTGCCCCATTTCTCTTGGTACTTAAAGCCGGTTCCTCAGGTGAAGACCTGAGGCTTGGTAGATTTCTGTTAAAACCAAAGTATTCTTATATAAAATAACAAAAATGTCAGGTTGAAATGTCACATGGAAATGAAATGCTCGCACTAGTAACACACTAATGAAGCTTTGTATGGTCTAGGATGGACGTGGAGAAGGGAAAGATTGAAGACACAGGCGGCAGCGGTGGCTCTTACTCTATTAAAACACAATTTAACTCTGAGGAGCAATGGACAAAAGCACTGAAATTCATGTTAACTAACCTGAAGTGGGGTCTTGCCTGGGTCTCATCCCAGTTCTATAACAAGTAACCATGGGAAGAACTCGTCCTGGCAGCTGCAGGATGTCTGTGTTCCGTCAGAGAAAGTCACATTAAGATGTCTCTTAATATTAACCAGTATAAAATGTTTACAATACCAAAAAACCACAAGACACTTTATTTAAAAGACCATTATTACAAGTAGTATATAGAAAAGCAATATGTAAAGTTGTGTCATGGAGCTGAACACAATAAAAAGGTGTTAAATCAATGCTAAACTGGCACTTTGAGGTTTATAGACTGAAATTACTGCTGAACTTCAAAGGGGTGAGTTCAGTACCACTCTTACAGCTAGAGAAGTGAAATGTTACAAACACAGGAACGTGGAGGAGCTCAAGGTAACTGCAGTCTGAAATAAAGGATTCTAAGTCATGTCAGTACTCTGTGCCGCTCAACGTAGCAAGGTTTGATACTGCTTCAAGTACCGTTAGCTGGGATGATGCTGGTGTTTGTGATACTTCCTGCAGCCTGTTCTCACCTGGAGGTGCACCCAGTAAATAATAAAACACTATTCTACACGGAGAGTGCTTCCATGTGACATGGGCACAGCTCCCAGTGACGGGCTCAGCAAGTCCCTGCTATCGCGACAGTCGCATCCCTTTCCAAACTGGGGGAGCTGTGCCTTTGACCACAGAGGTGGGCAACTGCCTGCTGGGCTGGGAGCAGAGAGGGGACACAGGAACATCCCGGCTGCCTGGGACAAGAGTCAGCTTTAAAGCAGCAGCAAATAGAGAAAGCAAGTACAGCTCTGTTTGTAACGGGGTTGTGAGCTGCTCCTAGTGCCCTTACCACACCACGCGCCTCACTGCCGTTTCAGAACGTGACTCCTTAGGGCTTGCTCCTTGTTCAAGGGAACTTCTGTTCGGAACTAAGCTGATGTAGGTCTTACAATAAAGACTTTTTCTGCCCAAAGAGGTTATTTCTACTTGGCTCCTGGCGCCTCCCTTCACAGCACTGGGGTGTTGCCTGAAAGGAGCTTTTCTGACTTAACCCTGGTGTTCCAAACAAAAGCAAACCAAATTGCATGGGGTGCTCTGGGCAGTGGCAGTGCTTTGCTGCCCTGGGGCAGGCAGCTCTACTGAGGAGGCCCAGTTCTGTGTTCCAGAGCTTTTGTTCCACACCTCCTGTAGCCCTGCCTCGGACTGGTGCTGCCAATGACCTGTTTCAGTACTGCGTAAGAAAAATCTTGTATGCTCTGTGAAGTGATGCCAGTGATACAGTTCAAATGCTCCACAACCTTAAAAAAAACCCAAGAGAGCAACTTACTAACAGTGCCTAAGAGATGTTCCTTTACATACTTCTTAATCCTGCAAATCTAATGGGAATAACGGGAATAAGTGCTCCATGGCCACACTTCAACAAATGTGAAGCCTCTCGGTATGTTTTCTATGTGGCTGGGGGTTTGTTTGCTTGGTTTAGGGGGGTTTTATGTTTGCTTTGCATTTTCTTTTTTAATCACTTCTACTGAAGAGGTGAAAAAGCTACATACAGGCTGTGAAGTAGTCCCACGGGATTACTTCACCTGTATGGGGTTTGTTCTGGCTGTGGAGATGCTGAAGCACAAGGACATACACACACTAATGCACGCAGGAGCCTTCCAACACCCTCACACGTGCTTCCTGCTGCACTTCAACAACCCACATAGAGCCAACACCTTTGGAAGTGACTGTACCTGCTTCCAATGCCCAGGGTTTAGTACGAACATGCTTGTGCTGATGGTTCCTACAGCCAAGAGCATGAAATCTTCCTTCACTGTCAAAAACTTTGCTCTGCAAGTAAAAGTGTCTCTTGGTGTCATCAATGCCAGCTTTGCAGTTCAAAAGCACCTGCTTCTGGGAGGGCTACAAAGCACACGTTCACTTGCTCAGTCCAAACAGAGCCTGATGCTGTTAACTTCAGTGGACAGTGCCAAAGCTGGGGTTTTATGATTAAACATTTCCCTAGCTTGCCCCTAAAGCACCCGTGTAGAAGCACATTGCTTTGAACATTAAGCTCAATAAATGCTGAAAGCCCCTCAAAATTACTGTTTTTTAAAAAACATGCCCCCCAAAAGTGGCATCATGGGAAATATGCTACTATTTCTTAAGGGTTTTTTAGGGTTTTCATTTCAAACAGTTAAAGCATCAGCCATGGGAGCTACTCACACTTGCAGTCTGCTTGGTGTGGAGTTTTCGACGGCAATCTTCAACAGAGTGTCGTAGATGGCATCTCGTGCAAGGTAGGAGAAGTCGAGGAGCTGAATACACATCTCATGTAAGGGCTTGGTGGGAAGCAAGCAGCCGTTGTACCCTAGCACAGGGATCACACAGGATCAGCACCACATCCCAAGGCATGAAACTGGATTAGAAAGAAGCCGCGAGCCAAGGATGGAGACTCCTGGTACCAGCTACCCCTTGTTTCTGAGTGCCACAGGCTTTCTCAAGCTCAGTATCATCTCACTGATACCTAAATTCAGGTTGTTAGACCTGGGCACTTGTAGGAAACATGTTCTTGCATTAGGTTTTGGGGGTTTTAAACTCTTCTACTGAACACATCATGTTCAACATGCTGTCCAACAGCACTCATCGGATTCTAGTACGGACAAAGTTCTCACCCAAAGAGTAAAGCCCTGCACAATGTGAATGCACCATATGCCAAAATCTGTAAGAGGAGACAGTCTGGTTCAAACCAGCAATGGCTCTATTCCACCTTTTGAAAACCCTCTCCTCTTAATCCTCTTACCCAGAACCTCCAGGAGCAACTCCACGTAAGCCAAAGGAGTCGAGACGTTGACCTGGAAGTGCAGAGTTTTTAGAACAGCAAGTTCTGACTCGAGCAGCTCCTGTTTCGTGTACGAGTACTTCAGAGACTGCAGAAATTTTAAAGCTACGTCGCTGTTAACTCTCTGAAGGAGGAAAAAGAGGGGAAAAAAAAGACAAATGAGCTCCTGAGCAGTGGGTAGAAGCAAGCACCTCCTTGGTTTACTCCTCCCACTGGATTTCAGCCGGAACCACTGCAGCTCCCATGGCTCTCTAACCCTAACACCCCTGTTGAGCTGGAATTAAAACTCCAGTTCAGACCTTCTCTCCCCAAGGTTTCCCTTACCCCACAATCTTTCCCCCTGCAGACATACACCTTTTGACAACCACAGACTTTTCCCCACTGCCTGTACTTTTTTGCCCGCAATATAGGGAACATCTCACAAATTGCTACTTGACAAGTGACAATTCATCCACCCTAAATGTTTAAACCTAAATTTAGGTCTCCATTTCAATATACTTTGCATTTTATGATCAGTAATAGTTTTCAAATTGGAAATACTAGAATCATAGAATTGTGTGGGTTGGAAAGGATCTTGAGATCATGCAGTTCCAAGCCCCTGCATGGGCAGGGACACCTCACACTAAACCATCTCACCCAAGGCTCTGTCCAGCCTGGCCTTGAACACTCCAGGGATGGAGCATTTACCACTTCTTTGGGCAACCCATTCCAGTGCCTCACCACCCTCACAGTAAAGAACTTTATATCTAATCTGAACTTCCCCTGTTTAATTGTAAACCTATTTCCCCTTGTCCTATCGCTCCAGTCCGTGATGAAGACTCCTTCTCCAGCATCCTTGTAGCCCCCTTCAGGCACTGGAAGCTGCTCTGAGGTCTCCAAGCAGCTTCTCTTCTCCAGGCTGAACAGCCCCAATGTTCTCAGCCTGGCTCCATACAGAAGGTGCTCCAGCCCCTGATTGCTTTCATGGCCCTCTTTCTTTCTAATCTTCTTTTTAACAGACATAAGTGTACCACATAGCTTGCTACACTGCTAAAAGCCATTACAAGAACAGGTTCATTGGGCTTACGTTATAGTGCAGGGACAGTTTGCTCGCGAGCTGAATGCATGACACGAGCCGCAGGACAAACGTGTTGTAGAGCTGATCTTCCAGAGAGCTGCAGCTGCTGCCTCCCCCCTGCTCACAGTGTTTAACGCTCTTCCTAGAGGACTTAGAGATTTGTTCCACCTGCTTGATCATAAACCTACAAAACCCAAAACTGCTCAGAAAACCGTTCTCTTCTGCTAAGCAAAAGGACAAGCAGCAGTTCTGCACGTATTCAGCTCAAAAACCTGAGCTAAATCAGCAAAGAGAGAAAGCTCTGGGGCTGTGAAAACCCACCACAGGTTGGTTGAGGGAGCGGTCCAGGGCACATGAGAGAGAGACAGGGAACACACCGAGCACCCGGGCTGCTCCGTACCTCTCAAGTAACTCCACTGCCTGGTACCGCGCCGACGGGTCCAGGCGCCACTTTTCAGCCAAGAGGAAGATGAACTCTGCAGGAGAAGGGCAGAGTCAGCCCTGCCCCGGCCCTGACCGCCACAGGCCGCCGGGCTGGGCCCTCACCCACGATCCGCGCCTCCTTGAAGCACCCGGCCCCCTCGGGCAGCTCGCTCAGGTGCCGCTCGTTCTCCGTGGCCAGGCGGATCAGCGCCTCCTCGATGACCTCCGGGGACACCCTGCCGAAGGCGGGGCCTGGCTCGCGGCACCGGGACGCTGCCTGCACCTGGGAGCCCATTGCCCGCCCCCGGTGAAGGCTCCGACGGCCCCGGGAGCGCAACCGGGACCGGCGGCCCCCTCAGCACGCGCGCGGTCACGGGGCCCCGCTCGGCCAATCAGAGCGCGTCCCTGCCGCAGCCAACCACTCGACGCCCCGCTCCCAAAGCCGCTTCTGATTGGACGCGTGTCTCTGGTGGATGTGACGTCAGCACGCTGTACGGAAGCGGCGGCGGCGGCGGAGGGGGAAGATGGCGGCGCAGGAGCCGGGCCGGGAGGCGGCGTTCGCTCGGCGCATCGACCCTCGGCGGGAGCCGGGGCTGAGCCCCCAGCAGCGGCTGCACATGGAGTGGGTGGAGCGCGCCCTGCGGAGCCGCCCCCGCCGCCGCAACGCGCTGCTGGCGCTCGGCATCGGCGCCGTCACGGTCGGGATCTGTATCCTGCGGGGCCGGGGCGGGGCGGGGTTGGGACCGGGACCGGGAGCGCTCCGCGGCCGCTCTTCTCCTTAACGCGGCCCGCAGACGCGTACACCTTCTACTCGGTGTCGCAGGAGCGGTTCCTGGACGATCTGGAGCAGGAGGCGGAGGCGGCGCGGGCGCGGGCCCGGGCGCGGGCTGAGAGCGCAGGGAGCTGAGCGCGGAGCGCCCGGCCCGGCCCCGCTGAACGGCGTGAGCTGCAGCCCCCGCGGAGCGGGAGGGGGAAGCGCCCGGCCCCGGGTGCGGGCTCTGGGCCTGCCCGGTGCGGTGCAGGGAGACGCGCCGGGGGCTCCCGCGCAGGCGGCTGCCTTTGCCAGGGCCCTGCCCGTGGCTTCCGTTAATAAACACCGCGTGTGCAGCCTGCGTCGGTGCCCGGTGAAGTCGCTGCTGGTCAGAGCCCGGCTCCGGTGTCTGCTGAGATGGGGCAAGTTTCTGCTTTGCTCTTTTCTCATCTTAGCTCGGTTTGAGCTAAGGTCACGAGTCCCGCCAGACAGACACAAACAGACCCGAGCTGGATTTAATTGGTATTTATGAAACACTTTCCAGGCATCAGTTCATAACTGAGTGCACCCGCTGCTGGTCCTGCTCACGTTACAGAGCCCAGGGAAGCTCCTTCTGGCTCCGCTGTGCAGGATGAGCTGAGGGGGGCAGCAAGCAGGGCAGCCCTGGGGCCGTAGGTCCAGCCCCGTGCATCATCCCACACAGAGCAGGGCTGGATCAGCCCCGGGGCAAGGCTGGGATGGATTGAGATCACTGAGGGGGGGGGGGTGGTTCTGCCTGCGGGGATCCATAAGGGATGGCAGCGCCTTGCACGTGTCCTGCAGCTGGGGTTGGGCTGGAGAAACAGACTGGGAACGGCAGGGAGGGGTCCAGGGGGCACAAGGAAGGAGGAGATTGGAGGGCAGATACAGAGGGCTGGAGGTGAGGGGCTGCGGGCACCCGGCTGGATCGGCCCCACGGCGCTGGCTGCTCCCAGGGCTGGCGCTTCCCTCCCGGGAGGCGCGGACGGGGCTCTCCCCCACCCCGGGGGCAGCAGGCACTTGGTTGAGGTAGTTCACGAGGTCACTCCTGGCCAGCCGGCTACTGGGAAGAGAAGCAGCCGTGAGCAGCGGCAGCACCGCGGGGCCGCCGGGGGCAGCACCGGCGCCGAGCTCTTACCACGCGGCTGAAGTCATCGGCGAAGGTCACCCCTTTGCTGAGCCGCTGCTCCTGCGAGCCCGTGCTGCTGCCGCTCAGCGAGTTGCGGCGCATGATGCCTGCGGGGACACGGCGGCCCTGAGCGCGGGCACCAGCGGTGCCGCAGCCCCGCGGTCCCCAGCCCGCAGGGTCCCGAGGGGTTGAGCAGAGCAGGGGTCGGCACCTTGGGGCTGCGGCAGCTCCAGGCGCTGCAGGCTGTTGCGGCGGGACGGGTTGAAGCTGCCCTTGGAGAGGCGGCGCTGGCGGCTGGAGAGCATGGCAGCGGGGGACACGATGCCCAGCGGCGGCTGCTTCCCCATGCGCAGGTACAGCTCCTCGATCTCCTTCTTCTGCATGCTCTGCAGCAGCTGCACCTCGGCCAGGTGCCTGCGGAGGAGGCAGGAGCTGGCAGCCGAGCCCTGCGCTGCGCCCAGCCAAGCTCGAGCAGCCTCTGTGCTGCTCCCCCGGGTGCAGCCCCCTCCAAAAGCTCTGCTCACTTCTGGCGCAGGTTCTGCAGCTCTTCCCAGATCTCCTCATCCTCGCTCTCGGTGTCGTCGCTGCTCAGGTAGGACAAGCTGCGGGAGTAGCTCAGCCACACCTGGTTTATCACCGCCTGCGGCGCGCTCTCGCCACCGTCCTCCCCAGGACCCTCCCGGTCACTCTCCGCTGCCGCCGCCCTGCCCTCCTCAACCGGCACTTCCTCAGCCTCGGGGTCCTGCTCCGCCATCTCCAGCACTGAGTCCGACTCGCTGCTTGAGCTGCCCCTTGTGGCAGGGGCTGCAGGCAAGGGGGAGCCCCTGGCTGCCGGCTCTGTGCCGTGCTGCTCACCCTCGCTGCTGCCCAGCACCGGAGACGTCGCTGCCAGGTCCTTGATTGGTGTCACCTGGAACCGGCCTAGGATCTGGGGCTTGGCCTCTGCTGGGGACAGGGGGCAGTTGGTGGGGTTCAGGGCACGAGGGCTGTCAGGGGTCTCACAGTGCTCTGGCACAGCCTCGGCCCTTCCCCGCCTCACCTTCGTTGATGGGCGAGAGCTGGGCCTTGGGCACGCCAGGGGCTGGTGACTCCGAGATGATGAGCGAGTTGCTGGGCTTGGGGGAGCCAGGCAGCACCTGCAGGCACTCCGACACTGTCAACCACCCCACCCGGGTCCCCCTGCGTCTCCTGGCCCCCACTGCTGTTCCCATGCCCTGAGACCCACTGCCTGCTCAGCCCTCCCTGCATCCCAGGGGCTCCCCACCCCATTCCAGGGCAGCATCTGCAGTGACAACCTGGCCCTCCCGGAGCTGAGCCCCACCTGAGGAGCCATTGCCACCCCAGCACTCACCGCGTTGCCCTCCAGGCTCCCTGGTGTGGATGTACTCAGCGATGGCAGGGGACTCCCCACAGCACTGCTGCCTGTGGGGCATGGTGGGGCTGGTGCTGGGGAAGGGAACGGCACGGGCCCCCTGGCAGGGGGGACATCAGCCCCTGCTGACAGCAGAGTCCCACTGAAGGCTGGTGCTGGCTTGACCATGCTGGCGGGGTCAGGGTAGACAAAGCGGGGGGGCCCCAGGACCAGGCTCTGTGGCCGCGGGAGCAGCGGTGGGTACACGTGCGCACCGGAGCTGGCGATGGAGGAGACGCCGGGCAGCAGCGTGTGCGCCACGCTCATCACTGCCAGAGAGAAGACATTGGCCAGAGAAAGGAAGGGGGTGGTGGGGGACCAGGATGTGCTGGTCATGGGGGGGCTCAGGGGGCTGCTGGGCTCGCTGGGAACAGGGGACGTGGGGAGCAGCAGTGGGGACAGCAGGGGCTGGGGTAGGGCTGTGGGGACGGGCCCGCCTGGGGTGCTTGGGGGGCTCTGTGGGAGCACCGGTGGTGCTGTCAGCCAGGAGGGAGCCACCGAGACAAGGGGCCAGGTCTGCACGGAGCCTGCAGAGAGAAGAGCATCGGGAGCACCCCAGCCCCCGCAGGCCCCCTCCTGTCCCTGCCCTGGCACCTTGGAGCCTCGAGCTGCCAAGGGCACGGGCCCAGGCGCCAGGACGGATGTGCCAGGCTGGTACCTGCAGGGGAGCCCAGCAGCGCTGGCTGCAGCTCACCGGCTGCCGGTGCCTCCACGGGGCTGCCGAGGTTGTTCTCTGATGGGGAGCTGCTCAGCAACGGTGGGACCGGGGACTGGACTGAGAGGCTGGGGCTGGTGGAGCCCAGGTCTGCGGCACAGGGGTGACAGCCGGCACTCAGCCAGGGCAGGATGTGCCCCATGGGCTTGGCCGGGGCCATTACCTGCCCTGCATGGGCCCTGGTGGGGGGATGAGAAGGGCCTGCACAGGGCAGAGACTTACCACTGAGAGAGGACGAGGAGATGGAGCGCGACAGCTCCTGCAGCGGCAGGTCCGTCTGCGGAGGGGATGCAGTGAGACAGCGCTGGGGCAGAGGCCCCGCACAGGCTGATCCAAGCTCCCTCCCCAGCCCCAGCACTGGGCAGGGTACACCACAACCCATTGCAAGAGCAGGCAAGTGACCTGGAGCCGCAGGCATGGGGCAGCTCCTACCCATGGCTAGAGGGCTCTGCACCCTGGCCCTCTCCCGCTGGGCTCCCTGGGGCCAGCAGCACCCACAGCTGTACTCAGCGCCGGTGCCTGCCCTGGGCACTCACGGGGCTGCGCTCAGCCTCAGGGCTCCGGGGCAGCTCCACAGCGCTGCTCCCATCCTTGCGGAGCAGGGTCTGCACACGGTGGATGATGTCCCGGATGCGGTGGATGAAGCCGTCCCTCTCCGACTTGAGGATGAACTCGTTGTGGACCTGCGGGCAGAGGGGTGGTCAGCGCCCAGCCCTGCCGAGCGCACTCCGACCCTCACCCTGCCCCACAGTCACCATGACGGCCGCAATCTCCTCTGGGTTGTCCCCGTCCAGGTCGAACTTGAAGGTCACCATCTTGTTGTTGTAGGTCTGCAGCTGGCACTCCACCACCCGGTCGTTCTTGTCCGAGATCTGTGGGCAGCGCGGCCGGCTCAGCCCGGGCTCAGGCTCCTGCCCACCCGCCCGCTGCCCGCGGCACTCACGTTGGTGATGCGGAGCCTGGAGCGGGCTCTGCGCCGCAGCAGCTTCCCCGCAGCCCTCTTGGCCGGCCCCTTGGAGCTCTGCTCGCCGGCCGACAGCCCCTCGCAGCCGTCGCTCATGCCCGACGCCACATCGGAGGCGTAGCTGCAGGGAGCCCCGACGGGGAGCATCAGCGCCGCCGCTCGCAGCCGCCCGCCCCGCGCCGCCGGCCCCGCGCCCTCACCTGTCCACCGGGGAGGAGAAGCCGCTGGCCGAGGGCAGGCGCTCGGGGGGCAGCTGCACCGCGATGCTCTGCGGGGAGAGGACGGCGTCAGCCGGTGCCAAGCCCGCCCCGGGCCCCAGCGCCGCGGGGCCGCGCTCACCGTGGGGAAGCAGCGCGCAGGGCGGGCGGGCGGCGGGCTCGACGGGTCCCCCGCCGGGAAGCTGCGATGCGCCACGTCCGGGGAGTCCAGGAAGCCGGAGGAGCTCAGGTACCCGTCGGTCTCGCCGTCGGCTGCGGGAGCGTGGCGTGAGCACGGCCCCGCACGGGCTGTGGGGCTTGGTCACGGCACAGCTGGAGGTGGGGAGGGGGGACACCACCCCCAGCCGCTTCCCACCCCAGGTCACCCCCTGTGGTCCCCCCAGCCCAGCCCACGCTGTTGCCCCACTCACAGGTGGCCGAGGAGTAGCTGGTGTGCTGGTAGCTGAAGTGCTGGTGCTGGTCGGCCTCGGGCTCCTCGGGCTCGGGGGGGAAGGTGCTGCTGAAGATGGACTCCCCGGAGCCGGGTGTGAGCAGGGAGGGCACCGGGGCTCCGGGCGGCAGCGGGGACTTGAGCTCCTCCAGCATCCGCAGGACGCCCGCTGGTTGCTCCGGCTCCGCAGGCGACCGCATCTCCTGGGAGCGCTTCAGCTTCTCCCGCTTGCGCTTGATGGCGACCACACGGTCCCGCACCGCCTTGGCCACCAGCTTGTAGTCAGCCTCGCAGATGAAGCCCAGGACCACCTGTACGGGAGGGCTTTGTCACGCTGGGCTGCAGGGACCCCGCAGTGCCCAGGGCTCCTCCATCCTTGAACCCACCATCTCCTGGGCCACCTCCTCCGCCACATCCTTGTAGAGCTCGAAGAGGAACTCGATGGCGTTGTTGTCCTTGTACTTGCCGTGCAGCTTCTTCGTGTCATCCATGCGCAGCCAGAGCTTGAGCCCAGACTTGACGCCATCGTCCTCCTCCGCCAGCTCCACGTGCACCCCCGTGTCCTCCTGGAAGAAGGAGTGCTCCAGCAGGTCCTGGATGGTGTACCTGTGGGGAGCACAGCTCAGCGTGGGGCCGGAGGCTGGGAGGGGGCTCTTCCACCCAGGCCCCTGGTCCCCTGCTACCTCTCGTCCTTATCCATGCGGATGCAGCCCTCGATGATCTCCTTCAGCTCCGGCACCTTCACCTTGTAGAAGCTGCTGGGCTTCAGGCCCTGGGGGTGATGTGCATCAGCATCTCCTGTGCTGAGCCCTGCCATGGTGCTGGGTTTCCAGGGCTGAAGCCAGGCTCTGCAGGGCCATGGTGCCACCAGGCACCGCCCCACCGGCAGCAGGGACATGTGGGGACAGGGCTCCCAGCCCATGGCCCCAGCAGCCTGCGTGCCCCGGGGCGCCGGGTTTCCACCCCAGTGAGCAGGAGCCAGCCAGCACCGTGCGGGGCAGCCGCGGTGCCCCAGGCGAGGGGTGGCTGAGCAAACCTGCGCCCGTTCCACCCCATTAACGTGCTGGCAGTGCCTGACGCAGGGCGAGGGATGTGGGGCCTGGCCAAGCCACCGACCCCCCCAAGCCCTGTCTCACCACCCAGACTGGTTTTAGCTGCTGCAGGACCTGCAGAGTGACACATGTGGGGGAGCAGCGAAGCCAAACAGCTCCGTGGGACCAGCACCCCCCTGACCCCCTCACCCGGCTCAGCACCAGCACCAGCATCGCCCCAGCTCGGGGCCGCTCACCGAGGTGACCTTGCGGTAGATCTGGGCAGCGTTCTGGCACTCGGAGTAGGGGTACTCCGAGGTAGCCATCTCCAGCATGCACATCCCGAAGGCATAGACGTCCACCGCCTCGTCGTACTTCTCCTCATACATCTCCGGCGCCATGAACTCGGGGGTACCTGGGGGCAGGAGCGAGGCTCAGTGAGCCCCATCACCGCCCCATTGTGGCAGCCGCCAGCCCTGTGCCACCAGCACCCCACCTATGACGCTCTTGGCGAAGGAGGCTCGCTTCAGCGTGGCCAGCCCCAGGTCCCCGATCTTGACGGAGCCGGTGGGCCCCGTGATGAAGATGTTGTCGCACTTGAGGTCACGGTGGATGATGGGGGGTGAGCGAGTGTGCAGGAAGTGCAGCCCCTTGAGGATCTGCCGGCTCCAGCGCTGCAGCACCTTCAGCTTCATCTCCTTGAACCGCTTCAGATACCTGTTGGGGGACGCAAGGGGGCTCAGCCCCAGCCCACCCTCCTCCCGCTGCCATGCTGAGCCCATCAGGGCACAGCGGCGAAGAGCATCTTGGCTGGGCTCTGCAGACACAGCCCAGAAAACACAGCCCAGGAGGAGCCAAGCTCCGAGCATCAGTGCCAGGAACCAGCCGGTGCTGCCGGGGTGCCGGGGCCACCCCATCCCCATGCAGGGTGGTGCCAGGGAAGCTCCTGGGTGTCCAGATCCCACCTGAGCCCCACCAGAGCCCATTGTCCCACCTCAACAGCCATGTCTCCCATCACTGCAGGGACCCCATTCCCTCCCCTCACACCCTGACCTGGCACTGGGCCCCTGCTCACGTTTTCAGGGTGCCGGATGTCATGAGCTCTGTGATCAGCACGATGCAGAGCTGGCCTTTGATGGATGACTTCCAGGAGTCATAGAAGCGGACAATGTTGGGATGCTGCAGCCCCTTCAGCATCTCCACCTCCTCACTGAACCGCTGCCGTTCTGTCTTCGACAGCTTTCGTGTCTGTGGGAGCAATGGGGAGACGTGATGGGGGCATTGTGGTCCTTAGCGAACACAGGGGGATGCCCTGGCTTAGAAGAGACTCAGATGCCCTCATCCCTACATACGAGGTACCAGGGGCTGCCGTGGCCCCAGTGCAGAGCTGGGATCAGACCTGCTGTCCCCCAGCACAGGGGCTCACGTGGGGCTGGAGCCGTCTCTGACCATGGTCTCACTCCATCGAGGCAGCCTCCATACCCCAGCCTTGCTCTGGATGGAGCTGCTCACCCCCAGGCTGGGGAAGGATGGCCAAGGCCTCCCATGACAGATGCTGTGAAAGGTGCCCTGTGTGGGGGCCGCCTGTCCCCATCCCCATTGTTCTTATCCCCCACCAAGGGATGGGGAGCCCCAGCTGCAGCCACCCAGCCGAGGGGATGTGCAGGGGCTCTGCAATGGCTGCCCCCCAGCACAGCCCCTCACCGGGGCACCAGCAGCTCCCGGCGCCGGGCACCGGCATGGCCGGGTGTTGGGCCAGCCTCAATGAGGCCTTTGTTGGGGAGAGCAGGAGGGGGAGGCTCCAGCTCAGGTTTTTCCATGTTCCTCCTGCTCGAGTTAATTAAAGTGGAAACCGAAGCCGAGGGCACTGAGCGGAGCTGGGGCTGGGGCCAGCAGGGAGGACATGGACCCCTCTTCCCGAGGGACACGGCCCCATAAGGGGGGAGCCACCAGCCAGACCCAGCAGGAGCCAGGTCCTGCCCCAAGCCCAGAGAGCTGCAATCCCTGAGCCCCAGGCAGGGACCGGGACCGGGAGCAGCGACAAACACCACAACCAGGGACCCCAAAGGGCCCAGCCACTGCTGAACAGGAGCCCCCCAGCCAGGACCCCCATCCAACCCTGTGGAGCTGTGGGACCAAGGAAACCCCCCAAGCTGCTGCTGGCAGCCGCGGCGCTGCCACCACCAGCGCTGCCAGAGCCGAGCTCGGCTCCTTGGCCGGTGGCCGCCTCCATCAGCACAAGCAGCTTTCCCAACATCTTCATTGCATCACAGCGGCCCCGCGCCCGGGCTGGAGCCGCTCCATAATCCCCTCTGCTTTTAACACACGCTCAGGGACCCGGCTCAGCCCAGATGAGAACCTGAGCCCTGCTGCAGCGGATGAATGGGACCTTTCATACCCGAGGAGGAAAACAGCAACCGAAGCCTGTGCGTGGCCCAGGGCACAGGGGCGGCCCTGCCCAGCGCCGTGGTTGCCCTCCCACCCCGGCCCCATCCCCACCGAGGAGCCTGGGGGTTCGCTGCGCCCCACAACCCTGCGAGGGCACGGTGAAGCCAAGAGGGGCTACAAACAGCGGCAGGAAGGGAGCCCCCATCAGCCACGGCTCTCCCAGCTGAGCAAGAGCGGTCCCCGCTTGGAGCCCGGGTGCCTGGAGACAAGCCCGGGGGAGCTGCGCTTGTCCCCAAGCCTGTGCCAGGGCTCAGCCGGCTCCGTTCCTCCCGCACACCAAAAGGAGCAGCGGGTCCCGTTCACCGCCATCCCGCCGAGCACCCACGGAGCGCTGGAGCGGGCAGAGCGGCCCGGCCCCAGCTCGGGCAAAGGAGCTGCTCAGCCCCGGGCAGGCGCTGGGAGGACAGGGCAGCGCTGCCAGCCCCGCACGGGGACACCGCGTCCTCCCGCAGCAGCGGCTCGGGCAGGGCAGGGGAGGACGCTGGGGACGGGTGAGGAGCTGGGTGGCAGCGGTCCAGCCCCATCCCCTGCGCCAGGAGCTGGCTGCTGGGGAGCCCGTCACGGCCAACAGCGGGAGGAGGGAGCGCTGGGCACGGCCGGGGACGGCTCCCGGCTCTGCGGCAGGAGGCTCTGCCCGGAGCGGGGAAGCACCAGCGCTGTCCTCGGGGTCTGCACCCTCCGCAGCGCCCCGGCTCCGTGGTGAGCCCTCGGCCTGTGAGGGGCTGAGAGCTGTGCCTGGGAAGGGGGATTTAGGCTCCGCAGGGACGCTCACAGTGATGCTGTGGAGGGGCACAGAGCACTGGAGACAGCCCAGGACCCTCCCTGTGGCCACATGCACCCCAGTGCATCACCACTGCCACCACCACCACCGCACGCTGAGCAGTGACCTTGTGCATGCTCGTGAGCACACACTCATGTTTCCAAACCCACAGGACCCCACCGAGCAAATCCCATCACCCTGCTCAGTTCATCCCATGCAGGGGCAGAGATCCCAGGCACTGTTCCAGGGCCTGGCCAGGCTCAGTCGCATGGTTCCCAAGCACAGCACAGGCAGGATGGGCTGGTGGGCGATGGACAGGGTTTGAGGAGGTGCAGGGCTTTGGGAAGGTGCCCACAGCCCCTGGGGTGCAGGAGCTGGGGGGGCACAGCAGCACCCAGGGAGCCCAAGGGGACCCACAGGAAAACCACTCACAGGCAGGCATTTACAGCTCGATCCTGCTCTGGGCCTCCAGCTTCCTCCCTGCTTCCTCCTTCCTGCTGCCCGCAGCACCTATCCACAGAAATAGCCCCCAGGCTAAAGCTGGAAAGCACAAACAGGTCGCTGCGGGGCTGCGGCACGCAGGCAGGAGGCAAAGACAGATGCTGCCTTCAGGCCTGGGGTAGCGGCACAGGGGGACAGGGACGGGCAGGTCCCCAGAGGGGTCCCACAGGAAGGCAGGGGACAGGCAGAAACATCCTCCAGGTGACCAGGTAGCCGGGAGGGAAGGGCAGGGCAAGGATGGAACAGAGAGCTGGGATTTGGGATCGGGAGCCATCAGAGCAGCCGGACAAGGCTCTCTGGACCGGAACAGGTCAGGGCTGAGGTCAGGTATTCATTTAGAATTGAAAGGCAATAAAAGGAGAACTGTGAAAGACCCGGGACAAAGCTATTTTTAAAAGGGCAGAACCACAACCAGTTTTATTTGCGGTTCCAAATCCCGTATTTGTGTCACAGTGTCTGATTCTTTGCATGATTGCTGAAAAAACAACAAACTGCTGAAAGTCCTTTTCTGTGCTCTCAGACCCTTGTGGGACGTGGATCTGGGGACAACAGACACTGGATGAAGAGCAGTCAGTGGCATGGAGAAGGGAAAGGGCTGGGGCAGAGCGATGGAGCAGGGGCAAGCACCGGGGCTGCCCCTTGAGGGGCTCATGTGTACAGCCAGGCTGTGGCTCCCCTGGGAGGTGACGGTGGTGGCCCAAGGAGCCGGGTCTGCCAGGCACCGTGGGATGCTCATGGGATGATCCCCGGCCAGAGCTCGGGCACTCATCCCACTGCAGCCCGGCAGGCTCAGGGCCGGCAGCGGCACCGGCATGTGCCCGTTGGGCTCGGGCACAGCAGCTGGTTCTGCTTCCCAACTCCATTCCCTCCACCAGGGATGGTGCAGCCTCGTCCTCTCGCAAGACACCAGCGCTGCCCCTGCCTGCTCCATGACCAGCCCTTTGGCCCCGTTGGCACTGCTCTGGGCTGCACAACAACCACCAGGGCCGCATCCAGACCCAGTGGACACACAGGAGCTGCCCTGACTCAGGGGTATGGGGACAGGGGTCCCACAGGCGGAGGGCAGGGAGCTGGGGCACATCAGGATGAGGGGCTGAGACCCACAGAGCCAGCTGATGGGAAGCACCGGGCACGGCTCACTCATCCCGGGAAGGTCCATGGCTCACCATTCCCTGCCAGAGGACTCAAATGGAGCCCAGGAGCATTTGGGCAGAGCTGCACAAGGGGGGGGGGGCGGAGTACGGAGCCGGCTGAAGGAATTGTGCAACCCAGAGGCAGGCATAGGCCCAAGACCTCACCTTCCGCACGCAGCCCCCCCAGCATCACCCATTGCTATCGCAGGATCTTGCAGTGCAGGGCCCAGCCCGGCACCCGCCTGCAGCTGCACCAGGGCTCTCGGAACAAGGCAACAAACTGGCAAGACACGTTTGTCTGTTGACAAGGACTTGGACCTCCCAGCAGCCACCCCAGGATCGGGAGGGAGCCTGGTGGAGACTTTGGACTTCACCAAAGCCCCTCCCCAGGGGCTCCATGGAGAAAGGGGAGCCCCATGGCCTGGCTCTCCCTGCGCAGCTCCATGGACAAGATCAGGCCCATCGAAAGCAACAAGTGGGAGCAAGCATTGTGGAGGCAACACCTTCACCGCTGCCACCAGCGCCCTGCTGTCAGCATCCCGCTGCAGGGCAGCAAGCGGGATGGAGGAGCAGGGCAGCAGGAGGAGCTGGGGGCATGCTCAGAGACCTGGAAAACCACCGGTCCTGGTGCTGCCCGCAGAGAGCCCCTGGCAGCACCACAGAAACCACACGCGGGTGTCCACGGACACCACTTCAGCCAAGGTCAAGCAGCCAGAGCACAGCAAGGTCGCTCCCGACGGACGCCCAGCCCTGGGCCCGCTGCAGCACGTGCCCCTGCACACACCGAAGGCTATCGGAGCAAACCTCCAGCACTGGCACAGGCACAGCACCAGAGAGGGCTCCTGCCCTTGCTGCCCTTCCAAAGGGAAAGCTGCAGGCTGGTGGGCAGTGAAAAGGCAGCGGGTGCTCAGTCCCTGCAGCACGTCCTGGATCCACCTGTAAACCCCCAGCGCTGGGACCGGCACCAGGAGTGCAGGCGCTCCATAGCTCCGGTGGGCTCCATAGCACCGGCAGCGGGCAGGCAGACGGCAAGCAGCGTGTGATGGGCAGGGTGGCCAGGAGCAGCCCGTTACCGGGGAGCCTAGGCCCGGGCCAAGAGCCCCTGCGGCTCCAGGGAAGGGTGAGGGAACGTGAGGGGAGACTGAGCCCAGTGCAGCGCCTTGCCCCGCTCTGCTGCTGCCTGGCACCAACGGGGGACCTCGGGTCCCTGCCGGAAAGATCCCGCACGGCAGCGGCGGGCAGAGGGGCTCGGGGCCCGGGGGGGGGGCTGCCCATGATGGGGAACTTGATGGAGCAGGGCGCGGGCAGAGCGGCCGTACCTGCAGCTCGCACCAGGCCACCTCCACCGTGGTCTCCGTGTCCAGCCCCTTGTAGACGGTCTTGAAGGAGCCGCGGCCGATCTCGATGTCAAACTTGAGGAACCGGCCGTCGGGGGAGGTGGCGACCGCGCGCGTCTCCACCTCCTCGCTCTCCGTCTCCTCCGGCTCCCGGCTCCCGGCAGCGCCCGGCGGTGGCAGCAGCGGCGGCGGCGGAGACCCCCCGCGCCCCTCGCCCGGTGCCGGGTATCCCAGCAGCTCCAGCTCGGCCGAGCTCCGCCGGTTGAAGCGGGAGGAGGCGCGGCGGGAGTCGCGTCCCGAGAGCCGCCGGTTGCGGTGCGGGGCCCGCCCGGGGAGCCCCGGCCCCGGCTCCGGCTCTGGCTCCGGAGCGGAGTCGCCTCCCGCCCGCTCTGCCTCGGGCTGGGACATGGCTCCGGCGGGTTCTGCCGCAAGCATCGGCTCAGCCCGGCCCGGGGCGACGGCTCCCGCGCAGCTCCGCTCCCGGTGCCGCCGCGGCCCCGCAGCCACCAGCGACCGACGAGCACCGGCCCGGGCACCGGCTCCGGCCCCGGCCCAGCCCGGCGGCACCTCCCCCGCCCCGCCCGGGCCCGCCCCCACGCGGCCACCGCCTCCCGCCTGCGCTGCGCCACCGGCCCCGCCACCGGGCACCGGCGGGCACGGGCAGCGGTGAGGGACGAGCTCCGAGCAGCGCTGCCCGCTGGGACCCGCAGCATCCCCCCCATCCCGCTGCTCCCCCGGCCGGGGGCCGCTGCCCGGCTCCTCCCGGGGCTCCGGGGCCGCGCTGCCGTGGCGCTGGCACCGGGGGCTCGGAGCTCCCCTCCCGTCCCCGCCCCGGGGAGCTCTGGGGCCGCTGAACCGAAGCCCCGGGCGGGGCTGCGCAGTCGAAGCCGGGCCGCAGGGAAGCGCCTGGTTTAGACATTTCCTCGGGGTTCCGGAGCAGCCCCGTCCCGCTCCCCAGAGCTCCCCACCCTGACATCAGGGTCGTGCAGGGAGGAAGATCCGAACGTGTGTGTCAGCGTTGTGCGAGCCAAAAGCTGGGACAAGAGCTTGTTGTCTCTCCAGGTGAAAGGAGGAGGTTGTTCTACCCGGTGAGGCTGTTTACACAAAACACAAAGCAATTGAGTCTGGCGCTAATTTCTTTTCCCTAAGGTCAGATTGTTTCTACTCGGCGATACTGGAAACGTGAAGGAAGGGATGGACGCAGAGCGCAGCCGTGTCCCCCCCAAACGCTGACCTGGCACATGCAGGGTGACACAGCACGATCCCAGGCTGGACGGGGCTCGGAGCAACCTGCTCCAGTGGAAGGTGTCTCTGCCCATGGCAGGGGGTTGGAACTGGATGAGCTTTAAGGTCCCACCCTACCCAAACCAGTCTGGGATTCGATGATGCAGGGCTGCTGGATACACAGTGCAGTTGCAGCCCCACAAACCCCCATGTCTGAGAAGCAGCGAGGACCAACCCGCACAACTCTGAACAGCGCATGGCTCCTGGTCATGGCCAGCCCAAACGCTGCCCAAGCCCCTGCAACGGCTGCCACTCAAGGGGTCCCAGGCTGGCAGGGAGCCCCAGCTCCCCAGCAAGAGACACGGAGCCAGGCAGGGGTCATAGCTTGGGCTCTGGTAGGCTCCTGTCCCCGTATCGAGTGAAACAAGATGCCACAGAAGATCCCAGGGGAGTGTCCCGGTCCCAATGAGGCCACTGAAGGCAGGAAAGGAAATCCAGGAGATGTTTGCTCCGACTGCTGCCCTCCCACCCCTCCAAGCTGGAGCCAGCTTGGCCCGAAAACAAACGGTTCCCGCTGGGCAGTCAGGTGCCCATTGCAAGCACTGTGATGGTGCCCACAGCTCCCCTCTTATCAGGGTGACATTTCTGGGCTGCGGGTGCCAGCACTGGCCTCTGCTTTGAGGAACCGCTGCAATCAGGCAGCGTAGCCTGTTTCTTGCTTGCATTTGGCTGCCAGGAAGAGAACCGGGCACTGTGTAATCGCCCTCCTCAGGATTAGATCGTGAATCAAAGCCCTACTCAGCTCCTTGCTCCAGCAAGCCCTGCCAGGAATTGTCCATTCTGATTCCAGAGCTTGGGGTGAGATCACAGAGGGAGCAGGAGGGGTCGAACACAGATGGGGATGCACAGCTCGGGCTGTCAGGCATAGGGTACCCATCTTGGGAAGGGTCAGAATGGATGAGAGCTCTGCAGAGCCCCATGGCTTGTGTCAGGGTTGGCTTCAGCACCCCTTGCCCTGACACATGGGCTCGGGGAGGAGGTGTCACCCAAACCTCAGTCCCAGCTTTAACCCCAGGCAGATAAACTCGATAACTCCGGAGGATTTCCTTAGCCCAGAAGAACAGCTGGAACCCACCCGCACGTCCATCCTAGCACACACATCTATCACGCTGAAACAACCCCTGCTCCAAACCAGCCACGTTAAATAAACCCCCTCTTGGCACTTCCCCCCCACCCCGTGACAGTGGGATCCGAGTGTGGGTGACCTGATAGCGCCTTATCTGGCAGCAGCCCCCTGCGCCCTGCCTCGCCCTGGGCAGCGAGTCCTAATCACTGCAGCCAGACGTGGCAACGGCCTCAGAGTGGCCACATGCGCCAGCCCCCCCATGGAAAAGGCACCTTCTCCAGTGGGGCCCTTGGTGGGGACGGAGCCTGAACTGTGCCCGCAATGGGGCATGGGGTGTGGGGGGGGCAGGCAGAGATTTAGGGCTGGGTTTTAAACTCTCCAACACCAAACTCCCATGCAAAGGGACCAGCGGGGATGGGGTGGGCAGAGCCCGGGCCCTGGCAGCATGGTGGAAGCAAAGAAGTGGCAGGCACGGAGCCACCTGGGTGGGTTCCAGCCATATCCAGCTCCATACTCGGCTCCCCCTTCACTTTGCTCCAGGAGCTCCCTTCTCTCATGCTGTGTCTGAAGCACCAGGAAGAGGTGAACCTGCTCCCTGTTATGGGAATGTCGTGCTTGCAGGCTGCCACGCTCCCTCCGAGCAGTCTAATCCTGACTCTTCCATCTCTACCCAGCACCCAAGGGCTTGAGGCCAGAGCAGCCTCACAGCATCTCTGGGCTGGCTCTGGTGTCCCAGTGCTGTGATTACACCACCAGCCCTTATGAAGTGCTGAATAAAGATAAGGAAGGCAGGTTCAAAGGGCTCTTGCTTTACCTGCTGCAGGAGCTGAGCTCACCCCCAGCTGCAGGCTGCACCATTCCCTGCAGAGGGAATAGCTGCTGCTGGGAGCTGGTCCCACCGGACCCCATGGGTGCAGCCGGATGCGACCCTTTGGAACCAGCCAAGAGGGTGTGGGGAAAGGAAGATTACCCAGTGTCCGTTCTGAAGGGGGGGACTTGCTCTTCCTCCTCCTCCTCCTCCTCCTCCTCCCACTAAGCAAGGAACTAAGTAAGGAGCTGAGAGAAGTGAATCACTGCCAGGACTGCATTGGAAAGAAAAAGGCTGGTTTAGGCTTATCTAATGTCACATCAGCCATTTCCTAGGAAGGGAGCAAATTTAATTAAGAACACAGACCGACTCAAGGACAGTCAGGTTACACACAGCACACGCAACACAATGCTGAGGCATTGGTATCATGCATACAGAGAGCAAGGAACACAAATATCCCCAGCCTGGCTGCTAAAGGCTCCTCATCCCGAGCAAACCTAGAGCAGCCAGCACAGAAACAGGGGTCGCTGTAGGGATACAGGGAGGGGGCAGCAACCAGAGAGGGAAGGGCTCAGTGTGGGAGGCAGGGACAGGAAGAGGCAGATCTCGGACACTGAAATAAGCCCAGGGCAGCCACTGGTAGCTGATGGTTCCTACAGAGACTTCACTGGCTGCAGAGGCAGGAGCCCCATGCCCACTGTGGGGACACACTACAGGGCTCTTGGCACAGCACAGCCTTCCCTGTGCCATCCTGTTCGCTCACCTCAGCACCAATGGTCAGACAGGATCAGACTCCACATTAGCCCAGTGTGTCAGTGGCTCGTGACAAGTCCTGCCGGTGCCTTTCTCCAGTGGACAAGTGCTGTCACACAGGAATTCACCAGCACAGAGAGGAACCCTGGGCACCAGGCACAGCTCTGGCCATGCCCACATGAAACCAGGACACCCACTGAGCTCAGCTCCATGGACTCGGCTCCAAACAGGACATTTTCACATGTCACCACCCCACAGACTGAGCCCGACTCCAGCATCTCATCTGCACTGAACATCACCCACTGTGGATGGGGACTGCAGCTGAACCAGTGCCAAGTCATCCTGCAAGGGCAGGACAGGCTGCTCAGCGCCGGCTGGGACAGATGGAAGCAGCGTGCTGGGGAGCTGGATCCTGAGAGCGACCACACTGGGAATGACCAAAGGTCGCTGCAGCACAGAACCCCACCTCTGCCTGCAGCCAGCAGCCAGCACTCGGGTGAAGGACGGGGAAGGCGAGTGTGATCCTGGCACAGCTTCCCCCATCAGCAGTTCAGGATTTACTGGTCATGGACTGGGTGGTGGTTTCTTACAAGCTGGGCCCTTCGTTATCAGCACCGGGAATCTAAGACCTTCGTCACATCCTGCACCAGCCGCTGTTGCAGAGGCTTTACCACACACCTCTTCAGCAATCCCCTCAGCTATCAGCAGGCTGCACGAGGAAAAGGGAAGTAAATGTTGCCCTCAAGACAGGCAGCAAGGGCCCACACACAGCCCATGGCTCCGGTACGTGGAGAAAAGCACTTGTGCTGTCCTCTTCCCACTTGGGAATGCTGCGCAGTGCTCCACCGGTGCACTAAGGAAACGTGGCTGAAGGGCAAGAACCTGGTGCGCTGCTCGGTTTGGTTCCTGATGTTAAAACAAAGATAGACTAAAGCATCCAGGCTGCCCTATAAATACAACTCATTTTAATTCCTCCAAATTAGTTCCTTGGCAGGCACCCCACCCCGCTGCACAGCCTGCTCTGCGGCAAGCACGGGTCATCCTGCTGTTGAGGCCTTCCACGGCACAGCGACGACCTTGTGCTCGCTCCCACCTTGGCAATGCCGTCTGGCTGCAGAGCCCAAGCACTGGGCAGCAGGAGGGAAGGGGCTGCCCTGCGAGGCCCAGCCTGACCAGTTGGAGAGGCCGCTCTTCTGTGTCTCTCAGGGATGGGGATCAGCAGCAGGAGCAGTTCCAGCATCTCACTTCTGGGCGGTCCCTCTCTAGAGCAGCTTTAGCCTCTCAACCACAATCAACAGGGAGAAAAGACAAGGGGATCTCTCAATGTTTCTAAGTCGTGTCTTTGGGAGGCTTCGCAGGATCTCCTTGCCCCAAGATGTCCCGAGTGTGCAACTGCTTCAGCCACGGCTTGCACCCAGGCCAGGAGAGCAAACCCTCCCAGAGAACCGCTCCGGCAGCCAGGGCAGAGCCAGGGGACTCCTGTCAGAAGAACTTGACGCCTCGGCCATCGTCCAGCGTGATGATCTCAGCCTTGTGCTCCTGCTGCAAGGCTTGCAGGGCACGGAGCAGCATCGCCTCATCCAAGCCGTGGAACTCTAGGGAAGGACAGAGATACCCATCAACAGTGAGAAGAAAATGACATCAGGAAACAAAGAGGCTTACAAAGCCCACCAGGAGCTGGCGGCAGCGAAGCAGAGGGCTCCGAGGAGCACCTCTCAGACCCCAGCACTGTAACACTACGGCAAATCTGGAGTTACACGCTCATCCTGATGCTGCTGCATCAGGAACAAAGCCTGAAGGTCAACAGAAAGGAGGGAATGAGTCACAGCATTCCCAAAGGCAGCGCAGGAGCTAGACACAAACCCAAAGCACTGGGTGCCAGGTAAGAGCTGGGGCGTGGGGAGGTGTAAATGCAAACAGTGAGAACAAAGGGAGATGTTCATCCAGGGCTGTAAAAAGACTTCAGAGGAGCATTCGCCAGTGCTGAGCAATAAAACTGGTGGACTTGCATAAGCAATTCAAAAACATTTAGTCTATAAAACTACGATCTCACCGTCATCAGCACGCTCTGAAAACCTGCTCCAAACAAGACACACGACCTTACCTTCGTTCTCTGTATCGTCTCCACTGACTAATTCATACAGGGTGAATACAGAGTTGGTCAAGCCGTTCTTTGACACCTGGAAACATAAAAGCAATATAACAAATCTCACTCGTGTGATTTAATACCCTCAGCATGACCCCTCAGCGCAAGTGAAATGGAACACAGACATCACCCGATGAGCAGTAATACCCTGGAAACACCCTGGGGAGCCAAGAAACAACAGCTGAGGAAAGTCAGGAGGCTCCTTTCCCTGCACCCCTGCTCTCTCAGCCACGTATCTCACAATAAGGACTTGCGCCATACGAACACAACTGCATCTTACAGCAAGTAAAAAGCTGTTATTGCCCCTGTGCTTCCCTGTGACTGACAGAAACAGAAGAAGCAGTGAGGAAGCAAAGGAATCGTATCCCAGTGGTCCCAGCCCTCCCGCACACCACGCCTGCATCCTCACCCACTGATAGATGAGCTTCCCCCATTCTTCTGGTCTCCTCCACATGATCAGAAAGCTGGTTTTGTTCTTATCCAACCATTCCAGGTTTCCTAAGATGGAGAAGGAAAAGGGGTTTAACCAGGGCACAGGCCCACGATAAGGATCAAACCCCCGGGTTTTGTGACACGTGCTGGCCATGGCACCCCCGGAGCTGCAGGCTCCCACCTCTCCCCATCCCACTTCTGCGCACTCTCTGTCTACGGGAACGAATTTGCCCTTCGGGCCCCTCTTCCCCGCCCACCCCGGTAAGGCAGGGCCCCGGAGCGGCCCGCACAGAGCCCACACAGCCGCTGCCGCCCGTCCCTCCCCACGGGCACCGGCCGGACGGCACCCACCGTTCTTACGGAGCTCCTCCAGCACCACCTGGATGGACTCCAGCGGGAGCTTCCCTGCGCGGGGGTTAAGGACACGTGCACCGGGAAAGGGGCTGCGGGGAGGGCGCGGGGCGCAGCGGGCCCCAAAGGATACGCTGCAGGCGGTGGTTGGCGAAGAGCGGGCTGTCCTGCGCCTCCCGCACCGTCATGGCGGGCAGCCGGTGCCGTTGGCTGTAGGCGAGCGCCAGCGCGCACCAGGCCGAGAGCTGCTTCTGCCGCGTCTCGCCGTTGGGCTGCAGCCTGCGGGGGCTCCGGTCAGCGGCTCCGCGGCACCCACCCCTCCCGGCCCCGCTCCCGCACCCGGCCCCGCTCCGGCCCCGTTCCCAGTCCCGCTCCAGCCCCGCTCCCGTTCCCGGTCCCGTTCCCGGCCCCGCTCCCGGTCCCGGCCTCGCTCCAGCCTCGCTCCCGCTCCCGGTTCCGCTCCCGGCCCCACTCCAGCCCCGGTCCCGATCCCGATCCCGATCCCAATCCCGGTCCCGGTCCCGATCCCGATCCCAATCCCGATCCCGATCCCGGTCCCGGTGCCGGTGCGGCGCTCACGTGAAGAACGGCGGGAAGCTGTACTGCCACGGCCACACGAAGCTCATCGCCGCCACCGGAACCGCCGCCGTCTTCCGCCCGGCCCGGAGCGCTTCCGGCACGCCCCGCAGAGCCCCGGCCCCGCCGAAACCCCGCCCCTCTAAGCTCCGCCTCCTCTATAAGCCACGCCCCCTCTGAGCTACGCCCCTCGCGGCCCGGCCCCTGCTGCTGCCCGGTGCTCGGTGCTCGGCGCTCGGTGCCCGGTGTTCGGTGCTCGGTGCCCGGTGCCGCTCCGTGCGCGTTCCCCGCCCAGCGCTGCCCCGCGGGGCCGTGTCAGTGCCGGTGGCACCGAGCTGTGCAAGAACCCGTGGAACGTGTAGGGGGGAAGAAACGTTTAATCCCCATCCGGGACCAGCGGGGGGCTGCCCCAGCAGCGTGTGCCGGTAGCCCCGGGACCACCCCCAACCCCACCGGCGGAGACCCCGCTCCACCCCCGGGCGGGCAGCACGTGCACGGGACACGCACGGCCGCTGCCCGGTCTCTGCCCGCTGCGGGACGGGAGAGCTGGAGCCGTGGTGCCCGAGCGGCAGCGCTAGGGCTGGGCCTTGCCGTCCTTGCTGCGCCAGATGACAAGGGTGACGAGGAAGGGGATGAGGCAGATGGGGGCGATGATCATGGCCAGCAGCACGTCCTCGGGCGGGTCGAAGTAGACCTGGTGCTCCAGGGTGCAGTTGTGGAAGTAGCGGTGGTGGCTCTGGAAGATGTACTGCTCTGCCAGCGCGTTGGGGTAGCCGTAGCGCAAGTGGTCAGCCCAGTCCTCCAGGCAGGCCTGCAGAAAGCTGTAGGGCCTGGGGAGAAAGCACAGGGTGCTGGGAGGGGATGGGGACACAAGGTAGCTGCGGGACACAGAGGAGCTGCTGGAGGAGGAAGTGGCCCTGGGTGCTTTGGCCAGGGCTTTGCCCCGGTCAAACACTTCCCACTGTCTCGGGAGCTGCTTCCACCATGTGGCCCTGGAGATGGAGTGGCCACAGGCAATGCCTCCACCGAAGAGTCCCCACATGCAGGTTCCCCCACCAGGGCCGTCCCCAGAGCTGGCCAGAGCCCCCCATACCCCTGCAGCACTGCTCGGAGGGGGTCTCCAGCCACCCAGTACCTGCTGATGACTTTCCACTCGCACAGCTCTGACGCTGTCACGTTCCTCATCACTTCAACAAAGAAATCCCAGCACTTCTGTGTGAGGTTGTTGTACATCTCCTCTGCAGGCAAAAGGAGAGGATTCATCCTCCTGTGCAGAGCCTGCGTCACTGCCCGGCCCTGGCCTAGTCCCAGCACTCACCCACGAGCTGCTCCGTCCAGTTGAACATGGCCATGGTCATGGGTGGGCTCGTCCTGGCATCCTGGCCAAAGCCCTCCACCTCGGCAACCACAGGGGACAGCCTGGTCCCCAGGAGCACTGTGGAGTGGGGGGGACAGGGTCAGCAGGAGATGGACACAACAGAGCTGGGTCTGCAGGAGAGAACTGGTTTGGGGTGTCCCTCAGGGCTGCAGGGAAGCGTGCTGCCAGAGCCCTAAGGGCAGGGACCGGGGGGGCAGCCGGGCAGCAGGCAGCTGCTCAAGGGCTTGGAGGGGTGTTAGGGGGCTGTGGGCCCTGGGCCACAGTGTGAGGGCGGCCGTGCCGCCTGCCCATGGGGAGCCACCGCAGCGGCCGCTCCATTGCCCCCGGTGGCTGCGTTGCAGCTGGACAGGGCTGGGGCAGGAAAAGGAAGCTCTGGCCACAGCACGGCACTGCCGGAGAGCCCCTCCACCCGCTGGCTGCCTCACACGCAGCACTGCCTGCCATGGGCACATCCCGCCTGGAACACCAGAGCCCCACAGCCCGAGGAAACCATCCCGTCCGTCTTCTGCCCTCGGCCTAGGGCTCACGGCATGGGGCAGCAGTGCCGGGCGTGTGGTGAACTGCCTTGGTGCGCACTGCCATAGGGAGCTCCATCGCAGCCACGGGGTAACTCTGGGCTGGCACAGCGGTAGCAGCAAGGGCAGCCTGCCACGTCCTGGTCTTTGTCCCTGACAGCCCCGTCCAGCCTGTCTCTGCTCGAGCACTTGTGGTGCCGCAGCTCCTGCCCCAGCCCGGGGTGTAGCGGGGCTCCCCAGCCGCTCTTGTGGGTCATTTGCCAAAAGCTGGGCGGTGAGTGTGGTGGGGGCTGCCCCGCAGCACCCATCGCCTGCCAGTGGTCCCTGGCCACACAGGCAGCGCTGTCCCCACTGCCCAAGCTGGGCTGAGCCGAGACCCTGGCCCCGGGCCCCCGTCCGGGGTGGTGCGAGACACCGGAGCCTCCCGCCCCCCTTGCACTTACCCCCGAGCAGCAGGACCCCTCCAGAGAACCGGCCGGAGCCCATCGGCGTGCGCGGTGCCATCCCGCAGAAGCCTGCGGCTAACGACCGGGACAAGTATTTCAATGGAAATAACAGGAAGCAACTCCTTTCCTCTGACAGGGGCAGTTTGACTACAGGAGACGTGTGAAAAATGAGATTGCTCAGCGCTGCTTTAAAGCGGCTCTCCCGGCGGGATCCAGCCGCCGTGCGGGGCCAACGGCCCCTGCGGGCATCGCTCCCGCACACCGGCACCCGGGCAGCCCGCGCCTCACCCGGCAGCCCGGAGGCTCCGCTCCCCGCGCCGCACGTCCAGTTTTACGAGGCCGCTATTTGTTTACTTGTGTATTTCTCTTTAATCCTGTCTGGGCTGGGTTGTGAAATCCCTCGTCTCCTGCGTGGAGGGCAGGCAGCCCGGCAGCGGGGGGAGTGGATGGAGAAGCGCCGTGTCCCCGGACAGACGCTGCCGCCCGGGGCTCAGGGGACCCCCAGCCCCGACACCGCGGCTCCTGCCTCCCCCGGGGCACCTGCCCCATGGCCGGCATCGCCGCGGTAGCCCCGGGCCCCTGCCTCAGCCAAGGAGGGTCGGGTGGCGGCGTGACCTGCCCGCGGTGTGAGGCCGATGCAGGCGGGGAGGTGGGGACAGGGCAGAGGCTTGGCCGACGTTGCCGGTCCCCGGCCACGCCGCCTTCCTCCCGCACCGCCCTGCCCGCGCCCTTCGCTCCTGGCGCCGCTCCTGCCCGTGGGGCCCGAACCCCCCCTCCGCAGCAGCGCTGCCCCTCGGCATTCCCACCCCAGGACCAGGCTGAGGCCGAGTGAGCTCATTTCACCCCCGGGCCGGGGCAGAGCGTGCGTCCAAAGCTTCTCCTTTAACAACCCGCCCATGGGATGCACTGAGTGGAATCGGAGCGTGATGAAGCGCAGCTCGGAGGGACCCTCCCTGCTGCAGAAAGCTGATCTTGCCGGGCTCTGCGCTCCCCGGCACAGCAGCCTGACCCTGCCCCACCGCCCCGCAGCAGCGCGGGACCTTTCATGAGCGAGCGGCTGCATCTGGAAGCCATCAGGGCCCTGGCGCTCCGGGGGCCGCAGGGTTGGAGCCCCCTGGTCCAGCTCTTGGTTGGAGCCAGTGAAGCCTCCGCCTGGGCGGCAGGAGCCTCCGCCAGGGAGACACCCAATGATCTCAGCACAGCCCAGGGGCTGGGACGGCTGCCGGGCTCCTGGGGTGTCCGGAGGGGACGGGCAGGGACGCCATGGGCAGGGACAGGACAGTGGCTGCCAGCCAAAGCTTGGGGCTCCCCCACCCCTAGTCTGGCATCCCCATTGCTCCGTGCCAGCTGGGGAAAGGCTCATCCCAGGCAGGGTCAGGAGCCCAGTCTCCTTCTCCTGACTCTCCCCTGCTTTGGGGCAGATGCAGGCATCCGGAGCCCCAGGCCCAGCTTCCCCCTCCCCAGTGCCATGGGGACCCACTCCATTCCCAGGGATGCCCAGACCCCCACCACTGCTCTGCCCTGTCCCCTGCACCCCCGGCCCACCCTTCAGTTCCCAGGGCTGGGAAGGAAGGGGGCAGCTGCTGGCTCCTCACAGGCATGGGGACAAGCAGGGGCTGAGGTGTGAGCCCCCTTTGGGGCTCTGCTGAGCACAATGGCTGCTGCAAGGGGTACGAGGCAGCTGAGCCCCACGGCCACAGCCAGAGCCAGCCCGGGGGGCATCGCGCTTGGCCGGGGGGGCTCAGCCCCCGAGCAGTTGGTGAAGTATTCAGCATGAACCTGCAGGAAGAAGGCATCGAGGATGGAGCTGGGCCAGGGGCAGGAGAGGAGCTGGGCCAGCAGCTGGGTACAGCCAGAGAGCTCACTGTAGGCGCTGCAGGGGGGGCAGCGTGAGACCACATCCGCTGCAGTGGCCCCACTCTGGGTGTGCATTCGGCACCACCGGGACCGGCGCTGACCCACCTGCTGATCTGGTCCCAGTGGCAGCGGCTGCCCTCAGGGGTGGTCATGAGGGTGGCGTGGAAGGGAGCCCAGCAGTAGAGGGAGATCCAGTCCTGGTAGGTGTCCTGGCAGCGGGCTGCCCCCCCCAGCACCTCCGGCAGTTCTGCAGAGCACCAGGCAGACCCTGGGATGCTCCCCCGCCCGCCTCTCCCTCTGATTTCAGTTTTGAGGGGGATGTTTGGGGTCACCCATGGGGAACACTCCCAGCACTGCCCATTGTGGGCCCATCTGCCAACCCTGGGGGTCCCCACTGGGGCTGCCTACAGCCATGAGGGCCCTGTGACTTGGGCCCTTGTGAGCCCCAGAACAGATCACAGGAGGTCTGTGGGGGGGTGGGGATGACAGCCAGGATCACAGGAGAGCAGCTCCTCACCATCCTCATCCAGGTACACGTAGTAACCTGGAAGGAGAGACAGTGCTGTCAGCGCCAGCGGGACCTGCGCACTGTGTGAGGGCAGCAGAGCCCATGGCTGTGAGGATGCTGCGGCAGCTGGGGCCACAGCCATGCAGGGACTATGGCATCAGGGTCTTACCTTCATCCTTGAGGTCCCCATCCTCTGTGTCCCCACACCCTGCAGCAAAGAGACACGGGGTGCTAGGGGTGCACTGGGGCATGAGCTGGGATGCTCCCAGCACCTCAGACATGCCTCCTCCTCCTCCTCCTCCCAGGCTGAGCTGAGCAGAACAGAGGTGACTGGGCCAAGGGTAGGAAACGGGAGCAGGAGGCTCCTGGCTCTGCCTTGGCATTGGCAACAGAGGCAGAATGGTTTCCGATCAAGCACCAACCCTGTGGGCAAACCCTGCCCAGAGCATCCTCCAAGGGGAGGGCAGGAGAGGACACGTTGGAATGGAGGGGAGAAACGGGCCAGGGGCCCCGTGGGGACTCGCTGCCAGGCCAGACCCTGTGCCTGACCTCTTGGGCACCTCTATGCAGTCCCCCCGGCTGGTACCCCCTCACCGCACCGCACAGCCCCAGCTCCGGACTGCTTTTACCGCGCTGGAGCAGAGCGAGGAGCACGCAGCAGAGGATCCGCGCCCTGAGGAGCATCCTCCCGCCACCGGGCCCTCGACACCCGGGCTGGGGCCGTGCTCGGGGGGTTTATCCCGGTGCCCGGCCCGCCCCAGCGCTGCCCGCCCGCTCCCGAGCCAATGCCCGGGAAGGTCGGGGGGACGCCTCGCTCCCACCCCGTCTGACTCAGCGAAGCTCCAAGGGCATCAGATGCGGGCTGCGGGCGCGGGGCGGCCCCACTCGTCCCCCCGAGGTCACCCCTGCGGGACCGACCCCCCCTTCCCTCCCGCCGGGAAGCGGAGTCCCGAACCGCAGCCCCCGGTCCCCGTCCTGCAGGGCCGAAGGGGAAGGACGCGACCCTCGCCGGGGCCGGGCCCGGCACCACCCGCTCAGGCCGCCTGGGATCCCCGGAGCAGGAAAGCCGCCGCCAACAGCCGCTTCCTGCCCGGCGCCGCTGCAGGAAGCTCGGGGCCCGCCCAGCCGCGGGGATCAGCCCCACCATTGCCCCGCAGCCATGCGGCACCCGCGTCCCCCGGGCCTGTCCCTGGCCGCTCGAGAGCCAGAAGCGCGGTGGTCACCGAGACCGGGGGTGCCCCGTCGGCAAGGACGGCCCCGGTTCTCCCCGGGCTCAGAGGGCGGCAGAGTCGGGGCGGGGACGGGCGCTGCCGGGACCGGGGGGTGGCAGAGCCCACGGGGAAACGGGGTCGGACGCACCGGAACGTGTGCGGGCACCGGGCTCGGAACCGCCGGGCTCGGCCCGTTCCCCGCAGCCGGTGCTGGGGATGTCTGGGCCGTACCCAGAGAACCGGAGCCCTACCCGGGTCCTGCCAACACCCGCGTGCCCGAGCCCTCCGGTACCGGCGGCGGCGGGGGGGGGAGGGCGTGCCCATCGCGAAGGGCGGAGCTACACCGGGGCGGTGCCTCTAACGGGGGCGGGGTTATCTCAGCGCATGCGCAGACGCGCAGGGGCGGCGGGATGGCTGAGGAGTGAGTGCGGGGCCCGGTGCGCGGGGGATCCCCGGTACCGGTAGGGGTGGGGGTGCGCCGGGGCCCGCTCCCCCGCTGCCGTGGCGCTGAGGGCCTCGGTCCGCTCCGGTGTTTGTCACCGCCGCAGCCGTGCGGCCCCGCGGGGAGGAGCTTGGGCCCGGCCGGCGGGGATGGGGGGGAGAGATCGAAGGGGAGCCCTCAGACCCGGCGCGGCCCGAGGCCGGGCTCTCAGCGCACCCCGCGGCTCCGGCCCGTCCCGTCCCTTCCCTTCCCGCGGCCGCGCCAGGCCGGGGGTTCCTCGGGAGCCGCCGCCGGGCCCGGGCCTGGGCTTAGTCAGCGCACGGGCGGCCACGGGGTGCTTGGGCCTCTCGGTGCGCTGTGCGTGCTCGCAAGCAGGAACTCGTGCGGGCTTCCCGGGTTCTTCTTCCCGAGTTCAAGCCCACGGCGCGGTCTGTTCCGGTAGCACGTGGGCAGGGTTAAGCTCCCCGGGGTTTGATGTTCGTTCCCGCTGCGCTTCTACAGGAAAATGGAAATCGCTGCTCCTCCAACGTCCAAGTGCATCATTTACTGGAAGAGGAAAGTCAAGTCTGAATACATGCGGCTCCGGCAGCTCAAGAGGTTCCAGGCGAACATGGGAGCGAAGGTAAAGACTGCTCTGTCAGCTGGTAGCGCTTGAGCAGCGACCAGGTGGGCGCTTCATCCTGCGGATTGCTGAGCTGCACCCCAGTTGCAAGCTGGGGAGGTTGGAGGGGATCCTGCTCCTCCTCCTGCAGCGCTGTGTGTTGCGCTGGTGAGGTCCGTATGCAGCAAAGGGGACTCGTCTCCACTTGGTCTTTAAAGTCTCCCTGCTAGGGGCTCCAGGGGGCTCTGCTGCTCCTCTCCTCCCAGGCAGGGTTTTAGAGGAGGTCGGCTGGGATCAGGAGCTACCAAATGCTGCTGGTTGTTGGGAGGACTTCAAGCAGAGTTTTGTACCAGTGTTGAGTTTAATTCGAATTCCTTCTAACAGGTATCAGTTTGAGATGCTCTGCCTTGCGTCTGCTTCTGATACTCAGACCAACATCTCATGAAGGGCTTTAGTGTTCTCCGTGTGATTTCTTAAGCTCTGAGTGCTGCTTTCCCTCCCTGCAGGCTCTGTTTGTGGCCAACTTTGCGAAGGTTCATGAGAAGACTCAGATCCTGAATGAAGACTGGAAGAAGCTCCGTGTGCAGCCGGTGCAGCTGATGAAGCCCGTCAGTGGGCACCCGTTCCTCAAGCAGGTGTGGAGAGGGAAAGGGGCTCAGCAGCAGAAGTGTGGACTGGAAGCAGCCTCTGCAGGGAGGGTTGGCTGTTTCCTCACTGCCCCTCTCTGTCCTGTTCCAGTGTACAGTTGAGAGCATCTTCCCAGGGTTTCCCAGCCAGACGCTGTACATGAGGACCCTGAACACGGTGGCACTGGTGCCCATTATGTATTCCTGGTCCCCTCTTCAGCAGAACTTCATGGTATGTAGGGAGGCTCAGGCACAAGGGCTTGGAGCAGTTTGTGTGTAGTTGTGATGTGGCTGTGAAGTGATTGGGCCTTCTTCAACTCACTTGTTTTAAGCGATGTCTGCTCAAAAGATGATGGAAGCTGTTCATTTGGCTGTCTGTTTTGTTGTATCCCATAAAACAGCCTTGGATCTGTGCTGTCTTACCTGACTCCTTGATAGGGTCATTGATATTTCAGAGGATCCTTGGAGCAGATATGGTTTGTTGCTTGATGGTTTGGTTCCCCCCCCCCCCCCCCTTTAAGATTTTTCTTCCTTTCTCAATGGGGAGTTTTATTTCCTGGGCAGGTCCTTTCCTTTGTGACTGGATTACCCTGCTGCTCTCATTGTAAGGGTGCTACTGAGGGTTAGTTCCTCATTGGTGGAAGCAAGGCGAGTGATTTAATGCAGGTTTTGGTGGGATGTTGTTAAGATTACCTGTTAAGCAAGCAGCTGGCCTGTGCCTGGCCTGGCTCTTTGCCTGCTCTGGGGTGTGGATGTGTCCCTGCACCCTGCGGGGCAGCTGCATGCCAGTGCAGACCGGGGCACAGTGTGAGACCAGTGACTGTAACGTAGAGCCAGCCAGCGGTGCCATGGCAGTGGAGAGCTGGTGCCCTTGCTCCTGTGGTTAACACGAGAACAGCTCCTCAGCTTTGGCTGTGTTCCTCTGGGAGTGAGTTACCGGTTTGCCTTTTGCTGTTCCAGTTCTGTGCTCTGCCTGAGCACAATGTCTCTGACGTTTGTTGGTTGTTATTGCTGGCAGCATGCGTGGTTCTGAGTTTCTTCAAGCATTGGAGGCACTGCTCTTCTTTTTCAAGGCAAATAGCACTTTCAGGGGGCAGATTTATGCTGCTGGCACGGGATAACAATGAAATGTCAGGGATGAGGCATCTGAAATTGCAACCTGGGAGGGTGAAGCTTTGCTTTGTGCTCTGCTGGTCTGTATGGGCAGGAGGAGCCTCGACCAGGCTGCAGGTGCCTCTGCTCTGAGTTGTATCTGACCTCTGCAGGTGGAGGATGAAACTGTTCTGTGCAATATCCCTTACATGGGAGATGAGGTGAAGGAAGAAGATGAAACTTTCATTGAAGAACTTATTAACAACTATGATGGGAAAGTCCATGGAGAGGAAGGTAAGAACAGTCAGCACTGCCTGTTCAGTCTCTTCTAAATAACATATCAAAGTAGTTAAGAAGTCAAAAGGTGGCAGCAGTAACCAGCATTGCTGTGGGAGCTCTTAGAGCAGAAAACCAGGAGCACGCCTGCTGTTCTAGCTTGCAAGGATATGGTCCTGCCTTCAGTACCCTGCATCGTTCTAAGTTCTTCTTCTGGAGCTGTTGTTCATGGGGGTTCATGTGCTCTGAGATGCTCAACAGTCTGTTAGGAGGAGCTCAGCAACTTTGCTTTGCTTGTGACCCCAGTCAAGGCTTTTCAGAACAGTGTGATTCCCTGCAGTGCTGCCTACCCCATCATAAAACTGTGTGGAGGCAGGAAAGCACTGGGGAACTGGGGTGTCCTGTCTTCAGATGGCACTAAATGATGCGCACTGCTCTTGGGACTCCCTAGCATTAAAATCCCCCCTGTCGCTTCAAAACTGAGAGGTTCTGGCTTGGGATTTACCACCACGAGGAGCATGGAAGAGGAGGGCACTGCCACAAGCTGGCTGACATCTCTGTGTTTCAGAAATGATTTCAGGGTCAGTCCTCATCAGCGATGCTGTGTTCCTGGAGCTGGTGAACGCCCTCAATCAGTACTCGGATGAGGAAGAGGAAGGACACAATGATTCCGAGGTGAAACAGGAGGATGGGAAAGAGGAGCTGCCAGTCACAAGGAAAAGAAAACGAATTGCAGCGGAAGGTGGGTTTGGCCACAGAAACTGGGGTTCCTTTGGTCCCATTTCCATCCTGCCCTGCCTGGTTGTTAACGTGTTGCTGAGGGTTGTGACCAGCTTGGCAGGTTGTGGTCATTGAAAGCAGGGGTGCATTCGGTTGTTCTCACCGTCCCCTTGGACAGGATAAGAAGTCACCAGTTTAGAGTGTGGTGAGGAAAATTTAATGAGTCATCTGGAAAACCCTGTCTGGGTGAGGTGAGCAGCAGTGGGTGTTATCTGAGGAGGCTGTGGGAGCTCTGCTCCTGGAGGTTTCAAAGTGCTGGTCTGGTTGGTAGGTAGATCCTGTTCTGCTGCAGGCAAAGGTGGACGGTTTCAAATCCCTTCCAGACCCATTTTCCATGTATTTGTTCCTGTTCCCTCTCCTGTGCCACGTGGAGCTCTTGTTGCATAGAGATAGCTGTGGTCTGTGGGCTTTTTCTTGTGTCCTGCATGACCTTAGGAATGCTGACTGCTATTTTTGTCTTTGGTTTATAGTGATGTGGGTAGCACAAATACCAGGACCCTTTTTCAAAGGTAGAAAAGCATTGTCTGCAAATCCTGTTTTGGGAAAAGCAAGCAGTGATAACGGTTCTTAAGAAGTCATTAAGTGCTTAAGGAATCTTTAGTGCTTCCTGAGGATGCTACAGCTCTGAAGTGGCAGCACTGCATCTGGAAACGCCTTGGCCTAGCTGCAGGGCAAAAGGTTTATCCATTGTATATGGGATTATGTGTCTGCCTCTTAAAATATAATCCTGAACACCTACTGGAATCACTATGGAAGCAGGAAAGAGCTGTTCACATCTGCTTTAACTGAGGAATTGTCTCTCCTCCTCTTCTTAGGTAACAAGAAGTGTTCCAAGAAGCGCTTTCCGAACGACATGATATTCACTGCTATTTCCTCTATGTTTCCTGAATACGGCTTCCCAGAGGATATGAAAGAGAGGTAGATTTGTGCTGCACTTGTCTGTTCCCTGCCTTGGTGTCAGTTGAAATCTCTATGTCAGCAACCAGCGCTGTGCCCTGAGCACAAAGCAGAGCTCAGCCGGCCGCGGGCACCGCTTTCAAGCGTCAGAGGCTTTGGTTTAGCCTCCAGGTTACCTGGCTCAGGGTGCTGCTGCCCCGGACGGTCCCTGCTTGTGTGATGTGTCCCACGGGAGGCAGGGGCTGCGTATCTGTGGGTGTCTGTGTGTCCGCAGGTACCGGGAGCTCACGGAGGTGTCGGACCCCAACGTGCTGCCGCCGCAGTGCACCCCCAACATAGACGGGCCCTGCGCGAAGTCGGTGCAGCGGGAGCAGTCCCTGCACTCCTTCCACACCCTCTTCTGCCGCCGCTGCTTCAAATACGACTGCTTTCTGCATCGTAAGTGCAGGCTCGGCCGGACGCTTCCCTAGAGCCCTTCTCTCCTCACTTTTCCTCGGTGCTTCGTGCCTCTGCCCGCCGTGCTTAGTGTCTGTGCCGCAGGCTTTAGAGGGAGGTTGCAGTGAAGCCTTAGGAGCTTACAGGTGCCCAGAAGCCTTTTATACAGACGGCTCCACTTGTTTTCCTCAGACGGACGGGACCGACCTGCGTGGCCGTCCCGCTTTCACCACTGCTCCGCGCTTGAGCCTCCGGGCATCTGTGCCATGACCAGACTTCACTCTTGCTTTGCAGAAGCTCAACAGGGAAAGCCATGAATGTTTCGCTTCCAAAGTCTGGACATGCCCCTGTGTTTTATTGCTTCACTGGAACTTACAGCTTCATCTTAGTCATGTTTCTGCGGTTTGTCCTGCCCAGAGCCTTTTGGATGCTGTTGGACCTGCTGTTTCCCAGGTCTGAGGGCTTCTTTGGAAAGTCACAGGACTCTTTCCAGTGAATTATTTATTAAAAGATGTAATATTAAGATCATGTGGTCTTTTTGTTTCAGTCTGAAAGCAGATCTTTTTCCTACGGCCTCTCCTTCCCAAGTGTTCCCCCTCTGCTGCCGAGTCCCCGTCACGGGTTGGAGCATGGGTTGGAGTCCTGCCACCTCCTTCCCCGCTGCCAGGAGAGCTGCTCGGGCTCTTGCTGCCTGCCTCAGGCTCCCACTTGGCTGAGCTCGTGCTGCCCTGTCCCTTGCAGTGTGTGGGGAGTCTCTTGGAGGGTGCTGATAGTAAAGATAACTATTATTTTTTCAGCTTTTCATGCTACTCCTAATGTGTACAAACGAAAGAATAGAGAGACCAAGATCGAGCCAGATCCTTGCGGAGCAGACTGTTTCCTCTGGCTGGTATGTTTCTGCATTGCTGCTTTTGAAACCACAGGAGAAGTGGCTTGTCCAGCCCAGCCCTGCAGAGCCCTCTGGGTCCTTTTCACAGCTCTGATCTTTCAGAATTAGTTCTAATCCTCACTGGATTCAGGGAATCCAGATGCAGACCTTACCAGATGCGTTATCTTAGCAAATCTCCAATGAAGACTAAGCTCGAAGGTACCAGATGGGAAATTGTGGTGACAAATGATTTCCCTGGGCTCTGTGGGGCGTTTGAAGAATGGAGCCCAGGTTAAAAGCACTGGGGGGGAAGACTCGAGCTATTTTAAATGCTCTTTCAGAGCTGCAGCCCAGCCGTGTTATGGGGTGAGAGCTGCAGGGATGTGGGTGCCTGCGGTGGTGTCAGTCAGCTCCAGGATCTGGGCTGTTCTGGGCAGCCGCTGAGCTGGAACAGAGGGAGAGGCCACGAGAACCTCACTGCAGGGCAAGAGGCAAGGGAGTAGGGCCAGGGAATTTCTTCCAACCAGGCTGTGATGCTGAACGAAGCAGGAACGTGCAGTGTGGGCAGCTGCTGAAGTGGAGCACTAGGGCAGATCTTCACCTTGTCTTGGTGGTGGCAGGGCTTGTCCCAGGCCCTGTGGAAAAGCCTTTTCCGTGTTCCCTGGTCACCTGCCACCCACCTTGTCTTCTCTGCTTGCAGGAAGGAGCCAAGGAGTTTGCTGCTCTGCACAACCCCAGGTCCAAGTGCTCAGGCCGGCGCCGCCGGAGGCACCACGTGGTGGGTGCTTCCTGCTCCAGCACCCCAGCTTCTGCCCTCACCGAGGCGAGGGAGGGCGACAGCGACCGAGACACGGGCAACGAGTGGGCTTCCAGCTCCTCAGGTACCATGCCAGCCCCGGGGCAGGTGGGACGGTGCCTCCGGTGCCGCCCTGCAGCAATGGGCCAGTACCACCATCCCAGCAGGCGCTGGGCGCTGCTGAGCTCTGCTGCCCGCGGGAGGGTGCAGTTCCCCCATGCTGTACATGGCCCAACATCGATCTCCCGTTCCTGCCAGAGGCAAACTCCCGCTGCCAGACACCCACCAAGCAGAAGCTGAGCCCGGCCTCCTCCCAGCTCTTTGCGGTGGAGACGCCGCAGGAGCCCGTCGAGTGGACGGGAGCAGAGGAGTCGCTCTTCCGTGTCTTCCATGGGACCTACTTCAACAACTTCTGCTCCATTGCCAGGCTGCTGGGAACAAAGACCTGCAAGCAGGTGGGGGGCCTGGGGAGCGCAGCGGCACCGCAGCTTCCTTGTTGGTTTTATTTCCGTGCAGTAAATCGCCCCGAGGGAGGTGTTCCATCAACCCTTTGGTGGAGCTCAGTGTTACTTGGCCCTTGGCAGGACCAGCCTGGTTGGCTCCTTGCAATGGGTTGGGTGCTGGCAGGGTGGTGCTCCTGAATCCCAGCCAAGAGAAGCAATGGCACCAGTGGTCCGTGGCACCGGGCACTGCTTACTGGGACTGGGAGCCCCCCTGTGTGTGTCCTTGCACTCCTGTTTATGCTTTACATCAAAAAACAACTTGAGTGCATTGAACTTTAGTAGTCTTTTTCCTTCTGTTCCCTTGCAGGTCTTTCAGTTTGCAGTGAAAGAATCGCTTATAACCAAACTGCCAACAAACGAATTAATGAATCCATCCCAGAAGAAGAAAAGGAAGCACAGGCAAGTGTTGGACATGCTTGTTTTGTTCTTAAAATGCAACCAGATCCACTGCTTTCTGTGCCAACGCATTCCTGGTAATCCCCATCTGGCTCCCATCTGCGCACACGTCCTGCTGTCACACAGGGCTGCTGGTCCTGGCCTGTCCCTGGTGCTGGGGGCTCTGTGACCCCAGGCCGGAGCCCCACAGGAGCAGGCAGTGCCACTGGAGGGCTGGTGCTGTGTCCTCCCAGCAGCCATAGCTCCCTGGCTCATAATCTCCTTTGGGTGTGCTGATCCCCGTGTGTCCGGTATTATTCTGGCTCTAGCATTTGCCTTAAGTAGCTGCAGCTGCATCATTCTCATCTTTCTCCCGTTTCTGGCTGCCTGGTGGTTGTTAATGCTTGAGGCTGGAATTGCCTGTCTGCTCTTCCCAATGGAGGCTCCTGTGTCCTCTCAACCCCTCTGCGCTTCTCTTGCAGGCTGTGGGCTGCGCACTGCAGGAAGATTCAGCTGAAGAAAGGTAACGTTGGCCCTGGCTGTATCCCACCGGGTTCCCAGGGAGCTCCCTGGTCACACAGCCACGTCTCCCAGCCCTGCTCCTCGGGGTGCCGTGGTGCTGGTGCCAGAGCCTCTCCTGGTCTTGCTTCCACCGTAGTGGAGGCTGAGGTTTGGTGCCTGGGCCTGCTGCTGGGGGCAGAGCAGTTGTGGGTGGTGGTGATCGCAGCTGTGTGCCTGCGGGTGCTGGATGCCACCGGGCTCCCTGCCCTCTGCAGGCACATGGGGAGGTTGCAGCTTCCCTGCTCCAGAGCCCTCTGTTTGCTGCTTTTCAGCGTTCCTGCGACGGGCAGCTTCTGATCCAGGCATTTCCCCTCTTGCTCTATAGACAATTCGCCTACCCAGGTGTACAACTACCAGCCTTGTGACCACCCCGAGCACCCCTGTGACAGCTCCTGCCCTTGCATCATGACTCAGAATTTCTGTGAGAAGTTCTGCCAGTGCAACCCTGACTGTAAGGAGAAACCTGGGACCGGGGGGGGGGGAAAGCATCCAGCTCTCCTGGCACCGGCCAGAGGGAGGGTGCGGAGCCGCTGCTTGCTAGAGGCTTGATCCCTGCATTCCCTGCTCTGCCCATCTGCGGCAGCTCCGTTTGCAGCCTGCTGAAATCCAGAGGGGAAACTGCTCTGTGCTGCCCCCTGACAGCCCTCTTGTTAGGAATGCCCATCTGCGTGCCTGTATCCAGCATCGGGACCCGCGGGTGATGCTGCGGTTCCCTGAGAGCAGGATGTGTGGGCAGCAGTTAGGGTGGGAGTTGGGTCACTGCTCTGCCATGGTTCCTTTTCTTCTCTGGGCTTGCATTCCCAGCTCTGCAATGGAGATAGCTGTACTTGACATTAGTGTGGCTTCTGTGGGTGGATTTGTTAAGGGTTATGGGGCCGGAAGGACCACAGGGAGCCAGCTCAGGCTCCAGGATTCCCTTTACTGCTCTGTTATGTTGAGGTTATCAGAGCAGTTTACTTTCAACCATCACAAGTAGTCCCAAGAGGCAGATCAGCATCCCCAGCCATGCAGATGGGAAGGACCCTGTGCATGGTGTGAGCGTGCACACTGTTTCCTGGTTCACTTCCAGCTCTGGTGCCCAGGCTGCCTCACATTCACTTTGACTGCTTGTGCTCCTGGCAAGTGCTGTCCTGGTCACTTTGGGGGTAGGAAGGCTGGCTGAGGCCTGCTGTCTGCTGCCCAGAGCACAGTGGATGGAGGGCTCCTCATTAGCACAAAGGCACCTTCCTTATGTGTGCACGGTGGCGGGCAGGAAGCATGGCCCTCGCTTACAGGCTTAGTCCTGAACCTGCCCATGGGCCTGCCAGGGTGAGACCTGGCTCGGGAGGAGCTTCCCTGGGGCAGGGACCCTGTGGTGCAGAGCCCTGTGCTGTGCTGCTGCAGGTCAGAACCGCTTCCCGGGCTGCCGCTGTAAAACCCAGTGCAACACCAAGCAGTGCCCGTGCTACCTGGCTGTGCGGGAGTGCGACCCGGACCTCTGCCTGACCTGCGGCGCTTCGGAGCACTGGGACTGCAAGGTGGTCTCCTGCAAGAACTGCAGCATCCAGCGGGGTCTCAAAAAGGTACTGCCAGCATCGGCTGCTGGTGGCCTCTGCCTCGGGTGCGCTGGTACCAGCAGAGCCCCGGCTGCGTGCCGCTGAGGAGCTCTGGAAGAGAAGCTGCTCTGAGGCTTCCGTAGCACCTGGGGGCTATGGATACGGAAATCAAGAGAAGGGAATTGCGTGAGGAAGGGTTGAGAGCAAGGAAGTGTTAAATGTGACTCCAGGGAAAGGCTTGGTCCTGAATTCAGGACAAGGAATTGCGTGTAAAAAAGGCAGAAGTTCAGAGAAAGGTACAAATTGGTGGGTGTCAAATGTGCAGCTCCAGTCTAGTGGTGCTGGGACACCTCAGTCTGGAGGGAGCTGTGTATCCCCTTGAACCAGGGGATGCTGCATAGAGACTGGTCCCCCTTCACTCTCTGGTGCTGGGCCCTTGAGCGTGGCATTGGCTGTTCCCTGGTGTGTGCCAGGAGGTGCAGAGCTCCTTGCTCTGCCCGAGGCAGGGTGGGATCTGTGTGCTGGGAGCCGTGGGCCTGCTGACCGTTAACTGCTTCCTTTCCTCCCTGGCTCCAGCATTTGCTGCTGGCACCGTCGGATGTCGCTGGCTGGGGGACCTTCATCAAGGAATCTGTGCAGAAGAACGAGTTCATCTCCGAGTACTGTGGTGAGGTCAGTGCTCCTGCCCGTGCCAGGGTGCTCTGCTGTGTCTGACCAGGTTTGGAGGCTCTGTCTTGTACTGTTTGGGACCTACCACAGTACTTTTTAGGCCCTCCACCATGGAGGAGCGTGTCGGGTACATGCCGCTCCTTGGGAGCTCAGCTCCTCTCTCTGCTCCCTCCCTGGAGCCCTGATGAGCTCTGGCCACTGGGGTGAGAGGAGGGAGATGAGTCCCACTCCTTGCAGCACCCCTGGGTGTGCCCTCAGGCACTGGGTCTCTCAAGGTGCTCTCCTTCTCCAGCTTATCTCACAGGATGAGGCTGACCGGCGAGGGAAGGTCTATGACAAGTACATGTCCAGCTTCCTCTTCAACCTCAACAACGGTAACTGGCCTGGGGCTGCGAGGGTTGGAGAGACCCGGGCAGCCTGGCAGGGGCTGGTGGCCGGGTGGCCATTGCAGCCCCTGCAGACAGGCCTCTCCCTGCTACAGTTTTGGGGCTTTTTCGGGTGGTTTTCTAGATTTCGTTGTCGATGCCACCCGCAAAGGCAATAAAATCCGCTTCGCCAATCACTCGGTGAACCCCAACTGCTATGCCAAAGGTGAGACGGTCCAGCCCAGCCCCACCTCTGAGGGGTGGCTCTCTGGGGTCCTGTTCAGCTCTGGGATTGCAGCGGATTCTCTGGGGTCCTAAGTTGTCCTGAGCCTGGCCAGAGCCTCCTCCCTGCAGCCGGTCCCATTGCTGCTGGTGTGGCTGAAGCCCTGCAGGAGCCATGGGCTGCAGCCGCAGCCCCGTGTCTCTGGTGCCTCTCTGTTGCAGTGGTGATGGTAAACGGAGACCACCGGATCGGGATCTTTGCCAAGAGGGCGATCCAGGCAGGAGAGGAGCTCTTCTTCGATTACAGGTACCTGGGGAGTGGCTGCTGAGGATGGGGGTGCAGGGTTGGCCCTGCTTCCTTGTGGGGAGCATGGCGGGGGGGGTCACTGCAGCAGCTGTGACTTTCCTGTCTTGTAGGTACAGCCAGGCTGATGCCCTGAAGTATGTCGGCATAGAGAGGGAGACAGATATCATCTAGGCTCCGTGTGGGGCAGTCCCTAGCCCACCCTGCTGCTGCACCCTGTAAGCAATGCCATGTTTGCTTCACGCTGACATGACTGCTGCTCTTCCCCTTGCTGAGTGTGTCACAAATGCTACTTCCCACCCAGAGAGAGACTCGGGGCAGGAGTGTGAGTGGCTGCTGCCAGGGGCAGCTTTGCCAGCACTGGGCAGGGGCAGGCGCTGGAGCTCTGCTCTACTCACCCAGGCTGGAGGGAGCCATGGGCCGAGGCTGGGGCTTGAAGCAAAGTTGTGCTGGAGGAGCAGAGACAGCCACAAGGTCTCTGTCCGTTTTCCATTGACTGCTGGAAGCACAAGAGCGAGCGTGGTACCACCCGCACCGAGACCAGCCCTGTCCCCTGGGATAGGCTCCAGTCTCAGGTGCCTCCTCTCGCTGCTCATTTTGCCCCGTTGATGGGGACAGCGAGAGGGTTGAAGCCATAGAGATGTGGCCGCAGCAGGGCCTGGACTGCTGTGGCTGAGGCTGTTTCCCCTCTGCCCCAGCTGGCTGGGGGACGGGGACCAGCTCCCCACGGGTGATGCGATTCAAGGGGATGGGGAGAGCAGCACTATGCAAAAAGTCACTTTGGGTAGTGGAATACCACTGAGCTGGTTGGAGACGATGTTATGGGAATGCTGCTGCCAGCGCGAGAGGCTGGAGGCAGCAGAGCCCCAGGAGCCTGAGGATGCCCTTTGGCGTGTCCAGGTGGTTGTTGGCTCATACTGGGGCTGGCGCACAGATGCCTCTGCCCAGAGGTCTGGGTCCTCCCTCCTCTGGTAGGACAGTCCCTGTTGGAGGAGCATGGGCCTGGCCCTGGGGATAAAGGGGAAACGTTCTCTGAAGGGTGAGGTTTGGCCTTAGCACCACATGCAAAAAGAAAAAGCAAAGCACTTTAAACTGCTCCTCCCGGCCAGCAGCCGTGTCCTGTCTGTGCTCTGAGGGTGCAGGGACCACAGAGGGCTGAGATTGCTGCTCTGCAGCTCCATTGCAGGGATGTTGGGATGGGGTTATTGGGCAGAGCCCCCCGTCCCTTTGTGGGGGTAGCATTTGGGGGCACTGCAGAGCTTGAGCGGTGCTGGGTCCTTGCCTGGCACCTTGGGGGAACCTTGGAATCCCCATGGCGCCGCTCATCCCTGCCGCTGTGGTCCATGGATGGAGCGAGGTGCTGGGTCTGCCCCAGGAGCCAAGCCCTGCCCCGCAGGCTGCCTGGCTGTCCGTCCTTGTGCTGTCCACGCTGCCCTCCTGAGGCTCGGAGGGGTCTGGGTCTGTCTGGAGCAGTGCTTGTAGATGCCAGCGCCCGCCTGCGCCTGCCCGGCTCCCCCCGCCTCTGCTCTCAGCTCAGCGCCCTCGCCACTTTGGCCACATCTGCACTAGGCCAGGCTTGTGTCTGTGGTTTGTGGACAGTGGATAACGATGATGCACTTTACAAATAACGTGGCTTGTAGCCTTTGTCATAATAAAGTGGTAGCAAACCCCCCCGTCAAGGCTCTGTGGCCTCTGTTACCCTAGGGAGCAGCTACCGGTGGTGTCTGTGTCCCCTGGGCCCCCTCGGTGGCAGCTCCGGAGCCCAGCGGGGCTTGTGAGCAGCTCCCGGTGCCACCACTGCCTGGATCCCCACTGTCTCAGGTGTGGGGGGAGAGCAGGGGCATAGCAGGAGCCTGAGCTGCATCCAGCCTCTGCTCTTTCCACGCCGCATCCCGCTCTGGGCATGGGAGTTGCTGTTGTCCATGAGCGAGGCGAGGAGCCCCCAGGGGAAGGCGGGGGAGCCTCAGCCGCTGTCATTCTGCCTTTATTTGAGTATCTTCACATCTCGGTCAACAGAACAGGCTTTGTAAAAGTAAAGTGCCCAGTGGAGCTCGGCCGTTGGGTGGGTAACCGCGTTTCTGTAACGTCGCCTTACCACAGTACAGCGAGTGAGCGGGAGCCTTCCCGGGGCCGGCGGGGACCGGCACAGACCCGGCCCCGCGGCCGCAGCCCCCGGGAGGAGCTTCCCTTTGGATTTTTATACAAACGGAGAGAGTAAAAAACCCGGGGTGTAGCGGGAGGATCCGTTACCTGAGCGGGTGAAAGCAGCAGCGAGGGGCGGTGGCATCATGCGCGGCAGCGGCCGGGGGTGCCGGCACGGGCGGGTATTGCTGGGTGCGGGGCTGGCGCCGGGGTCCTCGTGGCTCTGGCTTTAAGCGAGCAAAGCAGCGGCTCAACTACGTGTGAGCGGGGCGGCGGGGCCCGTGCTGCCCGTACCGGGGCTCCCGGTGGGGCAGAGCCGGCGCTGCCGCCGTGCCCGGGGCTGGGCGCTGGGTCCCGGCCGCGCTCCGGGGCCGGTCCTGCCCCGCGGCGGGTGTTGGCAGTTCAGGAGCGCTCGGCCCTTTGGTCCTGCGATGCTCGCTCGGCCCCAGGGCTGTGGGGCTGCGAGCGCGTCCCACCCCCGGGCACCACTAATCCCCTTTGGCCTCCTCCAGGATCTGGGGCAGGTTCTGGTCCTTGCGTGCCGAGAGCGGTTTGGCAGCGCTGCCGTAGTCCTGGATGGCCTTGGGCTCGTTGGTGTGGTAGGAGCCCTTGTAGCGGTGGTGGTAGAAATAGAGCAGCACCAGCAGCCCCCCGAGCAGCAGGAGCAGGAAGATCACAACTGCAGGGAAGAGGCAGCGGTGAGGGGCTTGTGGGGGGGGAACACAGGGCCAGGGCAGAGGTGGTGGGCACCGGCCGGGTGCTTCACTTACACCCGATGATGATCCCGATCCAGCCGTCATCGTGCACATGGGGGAAATCTGCAGAGACAGAGAGGCTGAGACCTGGCTGCAGCAGGGTCTTGTGCTGCAGCATCCCCTCCGCTGCTGAGGCTTGCTGGGGGGGGGGGTACCACAGCACCTACCTATGTCCATGTACCAGGGGTCCATCTCGGGAGGGATGAGGATGGTGGTGAGGGGGAGCATAGAGGCACAGTTCGACTCCACCAGCTCCCCACGGATGCTGTAGGGCTTCAGGACACTGGTGGGGTGGAAGATGGCTTTGAGAGGGACGAGAGTGTTGAACTTCACCCCCGAGAGGCAGCCTGAGAAGCCGGGCGTGTTGTAGCGCTGGATCTCGGGGTCGATCACACCGGTCTCTGTGGGGGCACAGGAGGAGAAGGCTCATCCCCTGCAGAGGGCAAGGACCGTGCTGGGCAGAGAAGCCCCCGAGCCCCCAGCATGGGAGTAGGCAGCTGAGGGCAGGACCCAGCTCACCCATCACGCGCCCCAGGTACAGGTTTTTGGGCGAGTCCAGCTTGCTGTCCACGAACAGGGAGAACTGCTGCTCCATCACCGGGAGATAGTCCACCTGGGGAAGGGACGGTGCCAGCTCCTGCCGAGCCTCCTCTGCCTCCCACACCCTGCCTGTGCCCCCTCCCAGCCTCACCCGAGCCCCACGGGGCTATACCTGCGTGTACAGCGTGCGGTGCAGGCGGGTGATGTTCACCCTATGGGGCCTCCCGTCTGTCACTGGCTTGGTGGTGAGGGCGAAGACGTAGGGACTGGTGCCCAACTGGTAGCGCAGCTGCAGGCTCCCTGTGGGCAGAGTGGGGCCATCAGTGGGGCCAGGGCTCTGGGAAGTGGGTCCAGCCCCTCCGCAGTGCTGGTGGAAGGAAGGTCCCGTGCGGCCGTGGTACCCGAGGAGATCCCCGCAGGCTCCCTCACCGTCATCCTTGATGAGCACGGCCATGTAGTCCTTGACGAAGGTGCTGACGTAGAGCAGCACGGCGGGCGCCGCGGTGGTGCTGAAGCTGAAGCTCACCTCCTCGCTGGTGAGGTTGTAGCCGGGCAGGGGCTGCCAGGGGCTGCTGATGATGCTGGCAAACTCGCGGGCAGCGTACAGCGACATGGGCAGGATGTTGTACCGCACCCAGGTGCCCTCCTCGAAGTACCCGCCGATGTCTGCGGGGCACGCGCAGGGTGATGGGAGCACCGGGGGGGAACACCCGGGAGCCCCACGGCAGCCCCGGCGAGGCCCCCGCGCTCACCGTGGTTGCAGAAGGGCCCGTCGAAGGCAGAGACGCTGCAGTTGCAGCTGTAGTGGCTGTAGCGCTCGACGCAGAGCCCGCTGTTCTGGCATGGCACCGGCGGGTCCTGGCAGTGCCCGGTGCAGTTGACCCGCACGCCCTCGGTCTCGTTGGCTTTGCCCTCCAGGTTGAGCGTCACCCCGTTCATCCGCAGCGCCCGCAGGCACCCCAGGAACGGGCGCATCTTGTGCTCCGCCGCGCCTGCAGCGGGGCCGAGCGTCACCGCCGGCGCCCCACGGGGAGCCGGGCACCGGGGATGCGGTTGGGGGGGGGCTCTCACCAACATAGAGGGGTCTGTCGAAGTCCAGGCGCACGAAGCTCTGCGGCGGAGCCTGCCGCACCACCCAGGGCAGTTTGTCCACCCGCAGCCGCGCCAGCTTCACGTTGAGCTCAGCCTTCACCTGGTGCCACTCGTCGTCGTTCCAGGGCACCGCCGACCGCACCGTCAGGTTCTCGTCCCCGTTCCCGATGTCGTAGGCAAACACCACGTCCCTGGTGGCTGTAGGGACACGGCGTTGGGAGGAGGCCCCGCTCACGTCCCCCCCTCTCGCCCCGCTGCCCGCCCGTACTGTTGAGCTCCACACGGATGTAGTTTCGGGAGCCGGGATTCTCCAGGAAGACGCCGGACTGGGCGGTGGTCTTGAAGTAGAAGGAGATGTCGAGGCTGTGGTTGGCCTGGAAGGTGGGGAAGAGCAGGGCTGCGCCCTTGTTGAAGGAAATGGTGTTCCAGGTGTTGCCTGTGGGGAGCAGGAGCGGTGAGGGATGGGCATGGAGCACCACAGCCACAGCACCCCACGGGACCCGCTGCGGATCCGGTCACTCACGGTCTCCGTAGCACCGCAGGGGCCCCAGCAGGAACTGGGCTTCGGAGCCGGTGCGGTTGGTGTCTCCAACCACAACCTGTGTGACGGGCAGGTGGTCCACGAAGGTCAGCAGACCCTTGTCCATCCTCCTGCGCACGGCACACGTGTCGGAGGGGCCGTGAGGGGCTTCTGCCCCTTGGCCAACCCAGCCCCTGTGCCCCCATCGCAGCCCGCCAGCACTCACCACAGCGCGTGGTCAGCATCACAGTTGCAGAAGTACTTGGGGTCAGCGCAGTTCTTGTCCAGGCCGCATGCGCAGCGTTGGATGCCCGGCCGAGAGCCCCCCCAGTAGTAGTGCCGCTCGTCGTGACGGCCCATCCAGAAGCTGAAGGGCAGCCCGGCTGCGGGCACACGGGAGGGTGAGGACGTGGTCCCGCAGCGTGGTCCCACCGCGGGGGCCCCGCGGCACGGCCCCGATGCTCCCCCCGCTGCTCACAGGGGGTGTTGAGCAGGCGGGAGCTGTAGCAGTGGAGCTCGATGCGCTGCTCGCAGTACTCGGAGGCATTGGCCAGCGCCGAGACCTCGGCCCAGGAAGCGTTCCAGTACTCCACAGCGCCCAGGTAGGGCTGGTCCACGCTGGAGCCCGTCACCCGCGTGGCGTAGTGGCGGTTGTGCCGGATGATGGTCCACGCTCGGTCCTCTGTGGAGGCAGGGGGGGATGCTAGGTGCAAACCCCAGGACCCCCCTGCTCCCTGCATCCTGCTCCTGACCCACAGGCAGAGGCTGGCCCCTGGGGGCACTGGGTAGAGGGGGGCACCCTCCCGCTGCCCCCACCTCGGATGTCGCAGTACACGGTGAAGGGCTTGAGCGGCCCGCTGCCATCCGGGTCGATGGTGTAGTTGCCTGAGGTTTTCCCGCTGACCCGGTAAGCATCGCACGACTCCTTGTAAAGGGCTGGAAGAGGCAAACGGGGCTGGGGTCAGCGTGGGGGGGGGAGTGGGAGGACTGCAGGGGCCCGTGCTTGTCCCCCAGCCCGACACCCCCAGCTCACATTTGTGGCAGGTCTCTCCCTTGTACCCTGTCAGGTCACAGATGCACATGAAGTCATCCCAGGACTGGATGCAGCGGCCGTCGTGCTCGCACAGGTTGGGGGTACACCTGAGGGCGCAGAAGGCTCCTGTCCTGGCACCAGCGCAGCCCCCAGTGCCCGCCTGTGCCCAGCCAGCACCCTTGTCTCCACTGGTACCTGTCTGTGATGCCACAGACGTTGAAGAACACGTTGAAGTACTGCCCCAGCCGGTGCTGCTCCAGCAGCTCCATGTCCACGGGCTGCATGTCCACGTTCAGCATCTGCAGGCAGCCGTGGAAGGCCGTCTGGTTCGAGCGGCAGCCGGTGACTGAGGCCGGCTTGGGGCAGCCTGCAAGGCACAGCGTGGTGAGCAGTCCCCAGGCACCCATCGCCCCGGTTCCCCCCGCCACCCACCTCCGAAGAAGTACTGGCTGCCGGTGCGGAGCTGGAAGGGATGCGCCACCCGGAACTCGGCGCCATCGTCATCGTCGATGGTCACCACGGCCGAGCCGTCCCGCGCCACCAGCTGCACCGAGTGCCAGAAGCCGTCGTTGAGGCGATGCCCTGCGCAGGG